TGCCTTGTTAACTGCTGTATGCAAATGCCAAATGAAACATGAAAAAAATCAAAAGGAAATGCAAAGAATTTCTATTTATTCTGAAAATATCAGTAAGTAAAGCTGTTAAATACAGGTATGTGTGATGCAGGTATGCTTTAGAATAAAGGACTACTTTATGGAGTATATTTTCCTTCTACTTTGCTTATGAATAATGAAGAAAAGAAAAGGAATGAATCTTGCAACAAAATGGATTCCTTGTCTTAAAACAGTATAACATCACTTCTTCCAGAGTCTTGCTACACTGCATAAATTTTCTAAGTGAGACATAATGTAATGTTAAATAATTAAGGAGTAGCCATCTAACACTAATTGCTTATACCATGGAGATGAGCAAATAGATGATAACAGATTACCCTGTGTTTATAAAAGTTGGGATTTTAGAGGTATTCCAACCTATAAGTAATGACACTTGTAATTACAATTTCTAGTGTCCAAAAATTAATTATTTTATCACAGAACTTGTTTTTGGAAAGCTACCCTTTACCATCTGCTCATGCAATTTGGTCAGTAGAGTTTGTATTACATTCAGACAATATCTTTCCTCATAATGTTATTTCATTTACCTCTACTGTTGGTGTGCATCTGGAAGCATGAACTTGGAAGTTCAGGTTTATATTAGATAATATCTGATATTATGTTTCTGCTTTGTCCTGCAAGGTAATTACCATACAGAGAAGCAAGTAAATAAGTGAGAGGATGTCTTTGGAGCATACTAGTTATAAAGACAAAAATAACTTAATTATGAAATGTAATTACCACCAGGCAAATAAAAGTTTTCAGATTCAATTTCTCCAACTGTGTATTTCTCTAGTGATGTAACAGCTAAAAAATAAGTGATACTGGCAAATAATGCATATTTTTTTAATTTTACTTTTTAGTACAATATATTTTTGATGAAACTTGCAAAATGTGGCTTTAGAAATTTCTTAAAAATGGACCTAAGCTTTTATAGTAGCACTGATTCTGTAGTATCTTATTGGAAAGCTCCTGCTATTTCTAAAGGTAAAGGAAGAATGTTATTCATAGTTAAGAGGTGTCTAAAACTTTACATTTCTGTACTGCTTCTATTTTGCTGTGGACACTTTGGGAAAGTGTTATTGGGGTTTGAGGCAGAACAATAAAACTGTGGTTTTTTTGGTTGTTGTTTTTTGTTTTTTGTTTTTTTTGTAATTGCTGTCTCACTTTCATAATTTTTATATCTGTTGAGATACTGAACATAGCTCCTGGGCAAAAATCACTATAGGAAATGGATGGGTAAAGAAAATACTTCATAATTGGGAAGGGAAAAAGGGAGGACAGAAAGGCCCATTTTGCTTCTCTTACCCTATAATTAAATACATACATCTGGCTGAAATTTCTTGTTTACTGCATTTCAACCCACACAATATAAAATTATGTGAAGAAACAAAATGAATTGAATAGAACTTAATAATGAAATTTTGCTGTCATTTTGAGAGCTGTTCCCTTCTGTCTGATTATGTAATGACAGAATGAAAAATGGATTTGACATTCATTCTTTTGCAGTCTGGGAAACTTCAAGGGTTTAGAAAAATTGCATTTAATGGAAGCAAATAGATAAATTGCAATGATCTGGATAACCTTGTAGTTATTTAGTCCTAAGTGCCTCAGTTTCTAAATGTTAAACTAAGTCAGGTTTTAGTTGATGGAGGTGGAGTGAAAGCTGCTTTGGATCATTCTCCAGAGATTAAGGTAGATGTCTGTATTAGAGAAGACGTTCTTGCATCTCTGTGTAGTCAGAAGAGAGACAGAGTGTTAATATGGTAAAAGGAGGTTAAAACAAATTTGAAGGCATTTTCTGAATGGCTACCAGTAGAGCAAGTGCTAAATATTAAGCATATATTGGAACCTGTGGGTTTATTCACCCTTCTCAACAGCATAGTTTGGAAGGCACTAATCTTATAGCCTGGGTGTTACCAGATGCAATTTTTTCTCTTGTAGTAGGTTTGTGGAATCACAGAATGTCTGGAGGTCACCCTCTCCAATCTCCCTGCTTGAGCAAAGCCACCTCGAGGTAGTTGCCCAGGGCCATGTCCAGGTGGGTTTTGAAGCTCCCAAGGATGGAGACTTGACAACCTCTCTGGGCAACACTGCCAGTGCTCTTGTCAGCTAGTAAAAAAGTGCTTCCTGATGCTTAGAGGGAACCTCTTGTGTTCCAGTTTCTGCCCATTGCCTCTTGTCCTGTCACTGGGCACTGCTGGAAAAAGCCTGGCTCTGTCCTCTCTGCACGCTTCAGGCATTGATATTGATAAGGTCCCCTCTAAGCCTCCTCTAAGCTCAACAGTCCCAGCTATCTCAGCTTTTCCAAATCCCTTTTCAAGTCCCTTAATCATCTTCTTGGTCCCCTGTTGGACTCTTTCCAGCATGTTCATAGAATCCTAGAATGGTTTGGGTTGGAAGGGACCTTAAAGGACATCTAATTCCAACCACCTGGCCATGGGCAGGGACACCTCCCACTAGACCAGTTTGCTCAAAACCCCATCCAGCCTGGCCTTGAACACCTCCAGGAATGGGGCATCCACAGCTTCTCTGAGCAAACTGTGCCAGTGCCTCACCACCCTCTGAGTGAAGAATTTCCTCCTAATACCTAATCTAAATCTACTCTTCTTTAGCTTAAAACTGTTACTCCGTGTCCTATCAGTACACCCCCTGACAAAGACTCCCTCCCCAACTTTCTTGTAGGCCTGTAGGCCACCTTTAGGTATTGGAAGGCCACTGTAGGGTCTCCCTGGAGCCTTCTACAGGCTGAACAACCCCAGCTCCCTCAGCCTGACTTAGCAGGAGAGGGGCTCCAGCCCCTTGATAATCGTTGTGGCTGTCCTCTGGACTCAACCCACCAGATCCATGTCATTCATGTGCTGTGGGCGCCAGAGCTGAATGCAGCACTCCCAGTGGGGTCTCACGAGAGCAGAGCAGAGGGGGACAATCCCCTCCCTCACCCTGCTGTCCACACTGCTTTTGATACAGCCCAGGACACAGTTGGCTGTTGGGTCTGCAAGTGGACATTGCCAGCTCATGTTGAGCTTCTTATCCACCAACACCCCTAGGACTTTCTCCTCAGGGCTGCTCTCAATCCATTCCCCACCCAGCCTGTATTTCTGTTTGGGATTACCCCAGCCCAGGTGCAGGACCTTGCACTTGGCCTTGTTGAACCTCATGAGGTTCTCACAGGCCTTTCTCAAGCTAGTCCAGTTCCTTCTGCAAAATGTCTCTCATGTACTGGGGAACCCAGAACTGGGCACAGTGCTTGGGGTGTGGTGTGACTGAATAGAAGGGAGGGATCACCACCATGACCTGCTGGCAATATGGCATCTAATGTGGCCCAGGATACCATTACCCTTCATTGCAGCAATGGCACATCGCTGGCTCATGTAGGTTCTTGCAGTACATCCCATGATATAGCTTGTCTTTTACTGTGGAATATTCAGGCATTAAATCTTAATACTTTTCCATTAAAGAGAGGATAATGATTATGAGCAAATGTATTTTTTTTTTCTCCCAAATTATCTGTTACAGGTAGGCTAAGTGCTTCATAGATAACATTGTTGAAATATTTGGCCACTATTACAAAAGTACATTAAGTAACAGTGCACCTTATGTAAGTAAGCGTATTATGTGTTATCTTTAGTCTAAGTATTCATAAACTATTAATAGATCCTTTATGAAGAATGGTATGTGCTGGTTTTTAAGTAGAAAAAGAATGTGAGGAGATTCTTTTTGCTAGTTTATAGAAAGATGAAACATAATTTCTTGCAGAAATCTGTTTTGTTTCAGCATTTAACTGGACCACCATGATTACTTTCTCAACTGAGGAATATCAAAATACTTTTATTTTTTTTTTCATGCAACCTTTCATTGTTCTTCTGGTTTACTTGGATTTGGAAGCATGGTGTTCGTTAAATGGGTTTGGCTTTGTTGCATATATTCAATTAAATTTTATGCAATTAATATAAAGCTTTTAGTGAAAAAGAAAAGAAGCAAGCTTGGTTCTATTAGTTTTCTTATCTAGAATGAGAAGATTATAGGACTGAAAAGGATATTAGAATTTAGTTGTTAATGCCAACAGCACTGAAACAGAGTAAGTACCTTTACAGCGTTTTTATGTCTAACATTTAGATAAAGATCTTCACTGAAGGAAGTGTATATGATGTAGCAATGAATTATGCCTAGTAATTATTTTTGAGGACTTTTCTCACTTCAATATCTAATCATTTTGATACTTTTCTATACTGCGCTAATGGTAGAATGGATTTGTCTTTTTGTCATTGATAACAGCCTCCTTTGTGATTGCAAACTATTGTCAGGTCCTCGTTTGGCCTTCTTAATCACAGTCCTTCATTCTTTCTGTTGCTCATGTCTTCTAGATCTCTTTATGCTTCTTTTGATGCAGCCCAGGATATGGTTGGCTTTCTGGGCTGCAGGCACGCGCTGCTGGCTCGTATTCAGTTTTTTGACAACCAGTACCCCAAATCCTTCTTCACAGGGCTGTTCTCAATCCACATACCACCTAGGCTGTATTCATGTTAGTAACTGCTCATCTATACCAGATCTGTGGTGAATACACTCTTGAACAGAATCACATTTCATCATTTGATGTTTGCATAAAGTAGTTAACTACATACTTATGTATGTTGGAGTGTGCATGTGTATATTTATTCATTTACATTGAAGAACAAGGATGGATTAGAGGATGGTGGGTTGTCTTCCTTATCCTATTTTAAAAACTATTACAAATTATTTGGAGTGGAAGAGGTTTTAGGTTGCTGTTTAAAAAATTCCTGGAAACTGGTTATTAGCCTTCCACTGATCAGAATCTTTAGTCATCAGATTCATTTCCTCAGTGTTGTGAATTCGTGAATTCTAAGTTGCTTTTCTGTTTCTTTTTCTTTTTCTTTTCCTTTTTTTTTTTTTATTTTTTATTTTTCCTCTGTAATTCACAGCTTTTAGAAATTAACTGGACTGGACTGACCAATCTTCTGGATGTTCCAGGGCTGAAGTGAGTATATGTAAAGCAGTATTTGATACTTCATTCCCCCCATCCCCAACCCCCATAAAGCCATAATAAAACCAAGCTAAATCATTTTAGGTTGAATGTCTCGGATCAGTTATCTTTTAATTTAGAAATAAGCAAGATTGTTCAATATGGAAAAGGTAATGATTATGTGTGTAAGTAAATGTATGTCAAAAGTATATCTAGCAGATCTTCCTAAAAATATTTTGAAAAGATAGTTTTTAATCTGCTTTTTTTAGTGTTCTCAGCCTTTGCAGATTTCCAGATTCTTGTGAATATCCTATGTGCCATCTCCTAGGACAGCAGAAAGATAAAGAGCCTTATTTTTCAGGCTGGAGTGTTCATAATATCTTGGCTTATGACTTTGTATGCCAATAAATCTCTAGTTGCTTGTGTAAAGATAGTAAGAAATACCTTAAGAGTGTGATAAAGTTAAATAAACTTTCTAATTTTTTTGTGTGCTTAAAGATTTCAATTTATTATGTGAGGATCAAATGGAGTAGCAGAAACATTGACCATATATAGTTAGGGAAAATGCTTGGCTTATTCAGAGCTTTTCAAAATACTAAATGGTAAAACCACAAATGAAATAGCAGAAGTACAGGGGAAAACATTCTTTTTAAATTATTTTTTAGCATTGCAGTGCTGAAAAGATTAGATCCATGAGTATCTAAATAATTGTCAAAGTTGTAATAGTTACTCGAGGGCTTTTTAATATTGAGGCAGTGGCTAAGGGGATAATAAATGGATCTGATACACACTTGGGTTTTGCGACTAGCCCTTTTATTCGATCCCAGACTCTCAAGAGTTAGTAGATTCCAGATTTATTTTGATCGTCTCAAACCAAGAGATGGAATTTAGGTATTAAATTAATCTTGCAGTGCTCAGTTGCATGACTGAAGTGGTTCCTGCTTTGCTGAGACATGGGAGGCCGTTGCATGGAATCCCAGTTGAGCAGCTTGAAATTAGAACTTATATGAAGTAGGTTAATGGCTGCAAGAATCGCTTATGTTTCAAGCCTGCTTAACACTGTCTCTGAGGAAAGAGGTTTTCTTGACGAGTGAGAAAATGGCTTCCAAAATACAGCTCCTGAGTAATAATTTGCTCTTTTGAGGTAACAGTAATAAATTTACATTTAGTACTTAAGCTTACAAGGCTCTTGAGATTCATACCATGCCTGACAGGAAACACCAAAACCTCAAATGTAAACAAAGTCTCATTAAGTGTCTCAAGTTTACGGTTTCCACAGCAACTAAGCTTGGCCACATATGTGTATAATAGGGCCGTCTAGATGTGGTATGGTTCCTATAGTAACCGTAACTGGGGTGACTCATGCTCTGCCTTGCCACTAGATTTCTTCAGTGCTGTATTTGTTTTTCTTATCTGTATGGATAGGCTATATATTTGGGTATGACAACTTGACATACTGTTGTTATAAACACTGATGAACACGAGATGGCTGCTGCCACAGGTACCTTTCACGGCCTGTGGCTGCTGGCTACACATTACTTACTTGTACTTTGTAAATGTCTCCTACTAAATGAATTTGATGCAGTTGCTGCTGGAAGCTTGGTAACAACTTCCATTGTTCTTTCTATACAACTCCATGAGGAAAAGGACAAGAATATAATTCATATTCTGTTGTTAGTATAGCTCACAAGAGGAGTCAAATTCAAGTCTCTGTACGAGGAGGATCCAGGTTGTGTAAATACTCAAGTCACATCAGGAGGGGATGTGGAGGACAGGAAGATGAATTCTATTATGGCTGGTTGAGATATACTAAAAGTGCTCTGTGCAGTCAGATCTGTGCCATTTCTGCACTATGAGTAGAAGACAATACAGTAAGAAAATACACAGCTGCCTTTTCTGCCCCTAAAAATTAGAGAGCTCTAACTAGAGAGTAGTATAACTGAGTAGGTAACTGCTTGTTATTCTTCTGCAGTGAAGTTGAGTTTTTGAAGACACTGTAATAAACTGCCTCAAGCATTTTACTTTTCTATCTTTTTCATGAACTGAAAAAATAATTGTACTGGATATCAACAAGTGAAACAGCTTAAGACTACGTAATTAACCAAGAACTTTTACATCAACATAAAGATTTAAATAGATACCACTGTCACTATTGCTTGACCATTTATTTGCCTATCTTTTCCATAGGTCACGCTTCTTGGTTTAAGTAATAAAATAATGATAATAAAAAAAATATTTTTACCTTGTATTTATAAAGAATAATTTTCAGCTGAGAGTATCCCACTTGGCTAATATTTGGTTAGATAAGTTTTAGACATCTGGAAGGTGTCATGTTGTTGTTTAAAATTCACTTAATTCATAATTTACAAGCTTCAGTGTTCTTTTCCAGGATGTTCCGTGTTTTTAAAGAGTGAGTATCTACTACCTCGTATGAATCCAGTTTCTCTCTGTAAAATTCTGTGGAATTCCTTGAATGCCAGTTCATTTTTCATATTAATTTCTCTGATGTTTTAGCAAAATTCAAGTGTTCGTGTTGGCACAATATGGCTGACCTTCAGAATCCCAGAGTGGGATTTTGGTCCTAGCAGAAATGATTGTGAATCCTCCGAGTGGCTGGATTGTGTTGCTTCAGGCTGTTTTTGTCTTATTTAGGGAGGCCTTCAGTAGCTCCCTTTGAATGTGAATTAATCTCTGATCCTTTTGCTAGACTGGGATAGGTATATTTATGTCAGTAGCTTATTTCATAATGTATGTGATAACTATTTACAAGAACACAATAACTTTTCTTTCAAGGTAGCTTTGGTACCTTTGCCTGCTTGTTGTTCTCTGACCTGGGTCATGTAGAACGATTAATCGAAAACACTGTCTTCGAGCATGCACTTTACTGAATGTAAAGGCAGAGCTTTCTCTTCTTATTGGGTAGGCAAACTAACAAAAGCAGGAACAAAGTTTCTGATGTTTGATAGCTATCTGTTGGAGACTTGTAATCAGATTTGTATTTTGAAAAGTATGCTTGTTGCTGGTGTAGCTATTAGCACCTCAGCTTTTCCTTTTTTCTTTTTTTTTTTGTCTTCTTTCAGTTTTTCAAGACTGTTTGAGATGTTTATCTTAAAGCTTTGATTCAACCCTAACAAAATAATGGGAGCTGTCTTCTCGGCTCATGTCAGAGAATGTTTGGCATTCATAACTTGAAAACAAGACATTCGGCAAAACTGAACTGAGGAAGTTTGAAAAGCACCATGTGTTACAGTGATAACTAAAGGAAGCTATTTATTTTCAAAAATATGATTATCTTGTGGTAGTTGTTTTAAGAAGTACTGAAACTGTAAATCTGTAGGGATTAGCATTCCTGTAGAATAAAAATCTTTGTAAATATGACCGGATAAACTCTGCAAGAAGGGAAAGGGAATGAAGGCTCCTATCTAGGACAAATTTAAACAAATTAAATTTAATAAATTAACTTGAGAAGAAACTTTGCCTATATGTAATGTGTTAGCATAATCCACTGACACTTTCAGAGAATAAACATGTGCCTGGGTAGCCCTGTCTTGATGTAACCTTGAGTTTCCTCTGTTCCTGTTGTATTGGATGCCATTAAAAGCTAGCAAATGGTTTTACAGTAGATGTGTTTAAGAAAACTGGTGTCACAGATCTAAGCGACCAGTAAATGTTTTTTATGAAAACTCTTGCTCCCCTCTACCTCCCCCAAAATCAACTTTTTATACAACCTAAAGATTTGTAAGCAAATAAATTAAGTAGTCTGTTATAGTCAATTCACTGAATGTAAAGCGACTGTCTATAGGAGTTGACCAAATGACATACTGGCTCTTCTAAAAGACATTGGTACTGGCAGTTGCATCAGTAGAGTTGTTTTTTTCCAGTCAGCAGTAATGTTACATTTTGAGGTCAATAGCAAGTTTTCTTCCCTTCAGGCTGTACTATTCTTTCCTTTTTCCTTCAGGCTGTACTATTCTTTCCCTTTTTTTTTTTTTTTTTTTTGAGTAATATTCCTAGCAAATCCTGTTCTGTTACAGTTTAGCACTCAGAGCTAAGATGGTAAGTATTTGAGGTTAACTGGTAATACTCCACCCATTACAGTTCAGTCTGTAATCACAGGCTCCAGTTGTTGTCACACCATTATGCCTTTACTTTGCTATGTTTTGTTTGAAGGCTGAAACCTCTCATTATGGGCAAAAATTGCTCAAGAATCTTTTTTTCATCTTTTTTTTTTTTTTTTTTGTAGAAATTCTGCATAGCACATCTCAGATCTTTTGTTTAGCTTGTGACCAACCATCTAACGAAGATAAATTTTCACTTAGGAGTTTGAACTGCTTCACTGCTGCAGAAGTTTCAGTGAAGTATTTTAGTGAGAGAGATTTCACGCAGACAGCTCCCTTGCGTGTTTAACCTTATAAACTAGAGACCAGGCTGCTGCATATGAGTTAAGTGAAAAGTGCAGCTTCACAGGCTGTAATCCTGAGTTGTCCTCGCCCATTCTAGTGGGTACATTTGTGGTGAAGAAGGACCACCAAGGGGAGGCAGGCTCTACAGGCTGCAAGTCTCTGACATGAAAAAAATATAAAATGGGCCAGGTTGTATTTAATGGGTTAATTCTGTTACCCTTCTCTACCATAATGTTTTTATTAAATGAAAATGTAACATATATTACTTATAATGTAATGTAAATTTATTATATATATACTGTATAAATATGCTAGCTGCTTGAGTCAGATCTACTCTCAGCTGCAGGTTCAGTCATAGAAAAGCTTCACAAGGTGATTACTTACAAGTGCTTAATCTGAAAAAATGCATGCAGTAATCAAACATATTATCTGCATCTGAATTTCATAAAGACTGTAAAAGGAGAATCTTAAAGGAAGTGTACTTAGGTGGAGAACTCATTTATCCCTGGAATGTTTTCACCAGCTTTAGCAAGAGTGCACCTGCAGTTCAGAACACCTCGAGTACTTTTCATCATTTTCTCTCTGAGCCTTTCTAGATACTGCCAACCTCTCCCTGGATCCTCATCTTCAGTGAATTATTCCACTCCTGTCTTCTGCCAGTGTAGGCAGTGCAGCTAACCAGGGGTGTTTGTCTGACAGCGTCCTGATCTGTTCTCAGTTCAGACCCAAACTGGGTGAACCCTTAGCTTAGGAAATGTTAGGAGGTTGGGTTATTTAGTGATTCATTACCACTATGATTGTACCGCCACTCCCTTTTTACGAGCACAAAACCTGTTTTACTTCCCTAGGCTATATTTTACTCGTCCACAGAGCATGCTTCCTTTGTGTTTCTGTTTAAATGACAGTTCTTCTAGCTCCAGAGGACAGCTTGCTTCATAACAATACAGCAGCAGTTAGCCAAACTTTCAGGGACAGTTAAGTCATTACTGAAATATAAAAGTAGGTTAACAGTTAACATCTGCTTGGTTATATGCAATGCAGGCAAGAAGACTTATGCAATAGCCCTTTACCCTGGGTGGCTTTGAAAAGGCGAGGGGGAACTTGGGAGAACTTTTATATTCCCGTCCTTGGTTTATGTTATTCACATATCAGCTGCTTCCACCTGGTGGCCATTTTGGCAAGAATCCTGTATTTAAAAAATCAAAAAAAGTTTTTAGGAATAGATTTGGTTTCTACACCCCTGAAGAAGGGCAAATGTTTGTCCGTTTAGGTGTTAAGCAGCAAAAGATGTAAGTGGTAGCTGTTAACAAATTGCAGTGCTATGAGAATGTAGACATTTGTTTTCTGTTCTGCATTGTTTTCCCTCAACACATGTTTACCTTATTCTAAAAGTGGCAATAAATACTCTTAGCTTCTAAAAGTAATTGGAAACTCTGCATTAATACTTAGACTTATTTCAGTGTGTTTTTTATGTTTTAGAAAAAGGGATCTCAAGTGTTAATATGGTTTTCCATAAAGTTTCATGCTTGAGCTGCCTCAGTATGTTAGTGTGACATAATGTGTTTATTTCCCGTGAAGTAACTGAGTATTGTTTTCTCTAACAGTGGCTTATCGGATACAATAATATTGGATATAATATCCAACTACCTGGTCCTCCCAAATAGAATTACTGTTCCCCTTGTCAGTGAAGTGCAGATTGCTCAGTTGCGGTTTCCTATACCAAAGGTATGTGTGTTTCTGTTAATAGTAAAAGTTTGGCATTTAATTTTGTTGTTGTAGTAATTGTCTGAGGTATGCACATCTGTATGAATTTCTAAATATAGCTATTGCAGTAGTAGAGGTTACGATGAAACTGTTCGCTTTAAATAACCCCATTTATAAATAATTTTATGGAGTTTGATAATAACACTGAGAAGGACTTTTTTTGTTTTGTTATAATCTTTCACATATTACCTGTAAAGCATAGTTCAACTGTGTGTATTAAAAATTATGTAACATGTTTTATATTATTACTGCAAAACATGCTGTTTACTTGAAAGTTGTTACTACTTAGTGCTACTTTGTTCCAGTAGCATGGCATTTCTTGATATAACTAGTATGTTTCTGATTACTGATGACTATTTTTTCTTCAAAAATTTCTCTGAGTCTTGGGTGTTTTGTGTGATATCTCTTGATCCACTGTGTGTCAAAACCAAGTTTCATCTTAAGGAAACTGCAGTGGAAATTATAAAACATATATTACATGAACTGTCATGGCGTGGAAACTTTCAGATTACTACATAAACTCATTCTTTCCTTTTTCAGGGTGTTCTAAGGATACACTTTATTGAAGCTCAGGACCTGGAGGGTAAAGATACCTACCTAAAAGGGATTGTTAAAGGAAAGTCAGATCCTTATGGAATCATCCGTGTAGGCAACCAGATTTTCCAAAGCAAGGTCATCAAAGAAAATCTCAATCCAAAATGGAATGAAGTTTATGAGGTATAATCAATAGAAACGTGTTTTGCATTTTGTAGTGTGGTCATCTAGAATTTATTTTCCTCAAGAAAGTCTCCAGAGTATTTTCTTTAGTAACTTTTTGATATTTCCCTCTGGAGGTCCAAAGGTCTGTAACAAACAGCAATTCTCCATTGATGTATGTGACTTTGTTTAGACTTAGCAACAGTAATTCTGAAAAGTTGTCTCTTAATACCGACATGAACAGAAAAAAAAAAAAAACTGAAAAGCTCTTATGCTTGCTCAACTCATAAAATCACATGTTTTTGCTTGTTGATATGTGTTAATACACAAAGACACTGCTGTTTCAGTGTTTTATTGTTACTGTGCCATTTGACAAAGCCAGTCAGTTTTACCATAGACAATGCTGTCTTACTCTACTTCCAGGCCTTAGTATATGAACATCCAGGACAGGAGCTAGAGATTGAGCTGTTTGATGAAGACCCAGATAAAGATGACTTCCTTGGAAGGTAAATGTTACGGAGAAAATGTGTGTAGATAGTGAAAAGAGATTAAATATTTTGATGTAACTTTTTAATTTAATTTTATTTTATTTTATTACACTTGTATTTCTGCTGTGTTACTGCATTTATAAATTACTTTTCAAATTTTGCTATTAAGTAGTTTCCTAATTCCTTGGACTCTACATGTGTGAAAACAAATTTGTATTAAGATGTGCTGTATGTATTTATACACATGTATGTTTTCATATTCATTAAAAAAAAATAAGGTAAGTGTTGTGGATACCCAGAAAAGGGTGTTTTAATTTTTTATGAATTGCACTGTACCTGCTTTAATATTCTTAAGCTGGCATTGAATCTTAAAGATACATTAACTTCATCTGAAGAAATAATTATAAATGTGTATTTTCCTCATGAGAGTATTTTTTTTAACTGGTTAGCTCAGTTTATTTTTCCTCTACGAGGTGATCTTAGCAATCTGGTTAAAGAAAAAGTATTGCTATAATGCTTTCGCAAACATTACTCACTCTTAGATTCCATAGGCCTACCTTTAGTGTTTACCCATAAGCATTTCAGGGTTTTAGTCAGCTTCTTTCACCAGTAATTTGTCACCTTTATTTCTTGCAGAGTTTGGAGCTTCCCATTGTTGCTTTCCATACAGAGTAGAACTCCCTTATCTTTCCAGCTCCTTCTCTCTTAACAGGAGCAACAGTACCTACTTCTCTTCTCATTTAAATAAAGAAGTAGGTAGTACTAAGGCTTCTTTTCTTTGCACTTCCCTAATCTTACATTGAAGTGGTGGGGGGGAAGAGTGGCAACTTGATCATAATATGTATACTAGTACTAGTAAAACAAAGGCAAGACAAATGTTCATACACCAGCATGCATTTGTCTCCAGTATTTAATTTTTAGCAGATTCCCTGGTACACTTTTGGTTTGTGCAAACTAGTGCTCTGTCAGACAATTCTAAAGCATGAATTTGGTCATAACATATGTCCAGGGGCTAATTCCAGTGGGTAGTTTGGATGTGGTCATGGTTTTGAGAGCTTAGTCATATGTGTATGAGCCATATTTTGCCAGTTGCCCTCATAGCTACAAAATGGGCTCTAGTACAGGCATATTTTCTATCATCCTGTGTTCCACCCTGGCTCAGACATTTTCTCTCTATTTCTTTCTCACTTAGGGGCTAAAAGAATAGTATTGTTTTGCTCTTTTGCTATCAGTGGAAATGTGGATACCAGCAAGCACAGGGTGGGATTTGAGCTCTGTGTTTGGCTTTTCGCTTCCTGTCTAAAGCACTTTTTTTTTTGTTTTGTTTTGTTGTTGTTGTTTGTTTTGTTTTCTTTTTTTCCTAGTTTGATGATAGATTTAATTGAAGTTGAAAAGGAACGACTTCTAGATGAGGTAAGCGTTGGGTAAGTTCTGGTTTAAAAAGCAAAACAAAACAAAAAGCAAACCAAAAAATGCAACAAAACACGATGTACATTTAGTTGTTCTCACATTTTTTCCTGAAGATAGTTCCTGAATAATCTTAACGATAGTGAAATAGATCCCTTGATGAATAACGCAGTGGTTTAAAGGATAGCTGAACTGTTGAATGAAGCCATTCTTCTTCTGCCATTGGGTTTTAAGCTCACTAGTATGTGAATGCAAAAAATGGTGACTTAAGTATTTGGTAAGGGATTTTTCTTCCATGAGAATAGTTATTTGCCTGGATTAACTACTTTTAGACTTTAATTAAACTAATGTAGAGGAAAGTGGAAGTTTTATCCTACATAAAACAGCAATGTTATTAGTGATGTTATGTATTAGTTTGATGTATTAGTAATGTATTAGTTTGTATTTGCAGAACAGCTTTAAAGAACTCAAAGAATTCTCTTGATGTTTTAAAAATGCCTTCACAGTACAACATAGAGGTCTGCATCGGTGGTTTTGTATGACAGAACTGAATAGTTATACATTGTCGTAAAATTTAGTGTGATACAGGACATTTCAAACAATAAATTAGATCTCTTTAGTTTATACAAATTCCAGCTCTAATAGATCTCTAGTGTGTTCTAAAATTTCCTAAATTTCCTGAAGAGCCGATTGCAGTTATGTATTTCTCTGGTGTCAGATTATTTCACACTACTTTGCTTAACTTTTAGTGGTTTACTTTGGATGAAGTGTCCAAAGGAAAATTGCATTTAAAACTGGAGTGGCTCACATTGATGCCAACGGCAGAAAACCTAGACAAGGTATTGAAAGAACACATTAATTTTCTCCTAATCTTCCCCCCCCCCTTTTTTTTTGTGTGTGTGTGCACATTTTAATATGTAAGTGATTTAATTCTTTAGCTGTAGTGAATTTGGATAAACCTCTAACTTTATTCCAAGCTGTCTGTCTTTAGAAATCTCAAATGAGTCATACCTGTCAACGTACTTCTGTGGCATGGGATTTTTAAAATGCTTTTTCCTTCTTTTTCTTTTCTCATAATGTTATGGTTTGAGAATATCAGCCAACATTTCTCAGTATGGTTACTCACAGTATGGTTTTTATTTAGGTGCTAACTAGCATTAGAGCTGATAAAGACCAAGCCAATGATGGACTTTCTTCTGCATTACTTATTCTCTATTTGGACTCAGCAAGAAACCTGCCTGTAAGTTATATTCTCATGGATGCCCTTTTCTCATAGGTATCTCTTGCTTACTTCCAGCATGTCTTGCTTGGTAGTATGGCACACTGCTTCACTAACACACCTTAAGCCATGTGTTCTATTCTTTCTCTTTTTTTCAAAATGTGTAATGTAAGGTCCATATTTCTAGTAGTATGGTAATATATTTATATAATTAATAAAACATTACTCTTAAATCAGTGTGATTTTTTCTTTAAAGAATGCTCCTTTCCTGGACTTGAAAGGCTGCATGTTTTTATTATGCAGTGCTTTCCATAAATAGTATGGGATCAGCATGGGGAATTATAAGAACTAACTGGGAAAAGGCCTACTTCCTTGAATTCAGGTAAACTTGCTTGCTTTGGTTTAGGATATCTGTGGTAGATTTGAAGGAAATGAAGTCCTCAACATGAAATTTATGGCGTGCGGTTGATGTTACAGTGGCAGAATATTTGTATGAGATTTCTGTCAGGTTGGCGTTTGGAGTAATGTTTATTTGCCTGTGTAAAACGCACATAAAACATGTTTCTGTCGTTATATGGATTATACTATGGCAGTGTGAAGTAATTTGTCTGTGGTGAGCACAAACTGTATTTAGTTTATTTCAGCTTAGCAGTGTTCTGTTCATGGTTGAAATTATGGCAGTAATAAAGTAAACCCCACCATAAATAGATAGGGGAAGCATTGAATTTTTCCATTTTTTAGCATTGCTATTAGGTGAGAAATTCTGGGAGTGATGGCTAAGATACTAATCAAAGATGGAAGTTTTCAGGCCTCATATGTTTTTGCATTTTGCAAATTTGTCCACTCACCTTAAATTTCAGTTAAAATAAAATACTGCATTGAAGCGTAACAAATCGAATCACAGTAGCCTGAACAATTTACATCACTGACTAGTGATTTCATTTAGTAAATAGTCTGTTCTAGCATGTACAGAGCAGTGCTTGAAAGAAGTATTATGGGAGATTTTAAAAGTTAAAGAGATGTACCTCATTTGGAATAGTCTTTTATTATCTTCTTAACCTCACTCTATTGAATTTGGGGGAACTCTGTAAATTAGCAGAGAGAGTAAAATTACTCTAATACAGAGTAAACATAAATAGAATAGAATTATGGCATGCTTAATATTAGTTTCATAATACTGCAACACACAAAAATGTGTCTGCCTTCTGTTTTGTGTGCTAGATTAAATTGAACTCACGTCTTTATTTTTTTGTTAAACTACTGGATTTTACTTAAATGAAGCTCTAAAAGTTTGTTAAAATATACTGAAGCCTCTTAATTAAAAAAGGAATAATTTATACTTCTCTCATCCACCATCTCCTAACAATCCCCTAAGTTTTTCCTTACAATCTTGCTTTTCTGTTTTACAATAGTTTATCTAGGAAATATGTAGAGGCTTTGTCATAAGTTTTAGTTTGTTCCCTTCCTATTTTAAATATTCTTTAGCATTGTCTCCCTCCCTTACAGAGGTTAAGCTGCAAACTTTGTGTTTTACCTACTTTTGGAGATGGTATTTTTGTTTCAGTGTTTCAGTCAGTACTTCTGATCAGTAGATCTCTAAACTCTAGGGCATGGAAAGGGGAAGGAAGTTCCTTGCCCAAAGCTGACTACTTAGCTACAGAATCCCAAATTTCTTATTGCTATTTTGTTTACGGTATAGCATTGCATGCGTAGTGTTGGGGAATAAGGGTGGTCACAGCATGGAACCCGTTTATCCCTTTGTTTTTCTTGTTCTGCCAGCCCATAAAAGTAGTTGCTACAAATAACTCAGTATTTAATTGCAAGTCATTCTCTGTCCAGTAATGTGCTAAAGAATATGATAGAAACTAGCATTGAACACTTGAAAATTCCAAGCTTACAACAATAATAAATACAATACTGTTTTAAATTCAAATTGTCCAGGAACAGATAGGAAAAGGCATTACAAATGGGTTGGAGGGAAAATACCATGGGAGGACAGCTTCTTGTGGCAGGACTGAAAGGATTTTTATAGATTCTGTAATGACAATAATTAGATCCTGTAAGGGAATTCCTACACAAAATACAGAAAATTATAGTGAATACAGCTCTTTTTATGTCCATTTGGTTGTGATATGGAACAACAATTACAAGATTAAACATAGGCTAAACAGGCTAGCTTCTCAAGTTGTGTTCATATTCATTGATAGGGTTGCTGTAGTGTAATAGTAAAATTAATTACTTTTTTTGGATTGTTTATATTTATGGGGAACAAAAGGTTAAAAGACAACAAAGTCTCACTTAGAATTATGCTATTTATTAATAGTTTTTGAAGACTTGTCCACAGCTTTTATGTTAAAACTGAAATATTTTCTGGATGAATAAGAACTTCTTATTGTCTTCAAAATGGATTTTTTTTTTAAGTTATTGCTGATCACTGATACATTTTAGATTTAGCATCGGCCTTATTTTGTTTGAGTTACAGTGGATAGCCCTATCAGACTTCTTTTTTTTTTTTTTTTTTTTTTTTCACAAATGCATTGTAGTTGTGAGCTTGTGAGCATTAGCATGATTTATCAGAAATATGTTTTATGTGAAATAGAAATGGTTTAGAAGTCAGGTCTCTAAACTTGGAACTGCCATATAAATCCGAACTACCAAGAATAAACCAGGAAAGTTGTGTTAATATATTTCAATAATTAATTAATAAAAAAGCAAAAAAAAAAAAAATCAAGTTGCCGTGCTACAGAAAGTTGTTTAACTGTTGGAACTGTTCATAATGACAAATATTTTTGTTATCTGCTGTTTTCTCTGGAATCCTTTGACTGTCTTCTTTAACTTTCTTGTGTAGTAAAGCTGCTTATGCATTCATTCTGCCACAATCCCATCACTCTGCTTTCTCCTTCCATTTCCATCTTCCTAAGAGTATCTACGAGGGAAACTTTGGGTGTGGATACTTAAAAGAGAGGAGAGCATCGGGACTAGTCTTTTGTGAAAACACTACCTCACTCTATAGAGCACTATTTGTGAGTTCTCTGGTGTTATTTGTATTGTACCTTTTATCTGCCAGAGTGTGGATTAGTGCTACTAAAGCCACTCACTCTAGTGGATTGAGAGCATGCAATTTGTTTTGCTGCATGGTTTCAACAAGTGTGCATTGTTTTTTTGTGCTATTTTTCTTGCATTTTAAAGGCTATTTAAATTTCATTGATCAGCATATCATTGGGTAAGTAATTAACCTTTCATGATAAAAACCCAAGATAAGTTTGTTGTAAAAGCTCTTACATTTAACTTAAATTGGTGATTCATTGAGAAACAAAATGAATACTATACTGGCACGCTGGGTGCTGGCAATTGTTGGCTTTTATTGCAAAGGAAAGAAAATGTAATAAATACTACAGCCAGCATCTCAGAATCTTTAATGGTGATGCACTCAACATTTCTAAGAACTTGCAACCTTTCCACACAGGTTCAAGTATTGAGCTAAAAATGGGTGTGATTCTTTGTGCATCCCAAACTACAAATTCCCTTGTAAATTCTGTTTCACTCCATGATGCTCCTTGTTTTGCAAATTCCCAAGCTCCTTTTATTTTTTTCTTTTCTTTTTTTTTTTTTTCTCCAAATTAGTCTGTAGTCAGGAAAATCCAGGCTAGGGATCAAAAAGTTATCAAAAGTTAATATTTTTGCTTTAAGTTAGTGATAGGAGATTATTGCAAACTAATGAGCCTCTGAATACTTACACCTAAGTCTGTAAACACAACCTTGGTATTCCCAGAAAGAATAGGAGTCTGTTCAGAATAAGAACTCTTTTGCCAGGGAGGTTGTTATGCCACTGCAGATTGTGCAGATTTAATTTGTAGCTGGCTGCTTTTCATTCGTATCATAAACCTTGATTTGAAAACACTCTTCCTCCTTCTCCCTCCAATAAACCAACAAAACTAAATCATTTTCTTGGTCTTTTCAGTTAGTTTCTTTGTAGGGATTCATTTTCCAGTATCAAAAAACTTTGCATCTACTAACCGAATCGAATAAAATTTAATGACTAAGATACACAGTTCTTAATCATAGATACTTATATTTTTGGAGAAACGCGTGTAATTTATTGGTGTCATAAGGATTCAAACCATATACTGCATGGTTTAGTTCTCTTGGTGCTAAAACTGATAAGTAGTTGCTGTTTTAATTATAAAAACTATAGATATATCATTTAACAAAAAAAAAGTTTGATAAAAGTGTAGACTTGATGTCATTGTTAGAACATTTAATCTAGATATGACAGCACCTAATGAGACACAGGATAAAACTTTCCAAATCCATGAAGCTCTTTGCAAGTCAGGGTGGAACTGTTTTAAGATAGCCATGTTTGGGTTTTCTTCAACAACACTGTCAGCTGGCTTGTTCTGCAGTTGCTGTTGGGTACCAGTCTTGCAGCAAGCAAAGGGACAGTTTATGGCTGGAAGGTAGGAGAGAGGAGAGGACTGTCATAGCCTAGAGATAACAGTTGTAGAACTGCCCATCATTTTAAATGTCTTATGCACACACCTCTAAGTTCAGGTATCTAACTGACATGTCTGAGTTCTTTTGGGGGTTTGTGGATGTGTTTGGTGGCTGTTAAAAAGGACTTTTACTTCATTTGCAGGAGAGGAACAAAGCCCTGAATGCTCAGATTCTTTCTGGTTGTTTGTATTGACTGCTGGAAACCTAGATTCATGGCACCTAATTCAGACATTTACCCATCTAAATCTGATTTATCTTAAGGATTATGAACTGTGCTCTTAGTATAATTTCTAGAAGTACATAATACTAGTTTTATGATATATTGTCATATATATACATATTAATTTAGTGTGTATATATATATATAACATCTAAATTATCTGTATTTTAAATCAGCTCTTCCATGTCAGTCACTGTCTTCTGGTTATCAGCTGAGAGATTTAGAAACTTCTAAAGCACCATTTGAAGCCCAAGAAAAAAGTTAGTGAGTTAACATAAGTAATGAGTTGCACACCACAGCGTATCAAAATAGCATTTGGCTTAATAATAAAACAGCTTGTTAGGTGCCATATAACTTATGGCCTTGCTATACTAGGATTTACTGCAAAAGTCATTAGCGAGTACTAACCAGAAGTTGGATTTATTTCATTGTGTTAGTTGTCGGTATTACTCTTGGATAACTGTCCCCTTTTCATGTAACTCAGAGATGCTCAGAACCATAGCAAGACAACTCTGTAATCCAAGACAAGACCTTTTCTTTTTTTTTATTGAATACTCCAATTTCTTCTCCTAGTGTCCTCCCTCCCAGCCTTTCAGCCACCTTCCTCATGGACCTGCAGCTCCTTCCCTTGAAACCTGAAGTCTGGCTTAAACATATTTGCCCCAGCTGGTATCCCTGTTGGCCTTCCTTGCTATGATTCCAGAGGAATTGAAACTTGTGCAATAGCCAGGAATCATTGGTTGCCTACCTTTATAATTGATGACAGAGGTTTGTTTTGGGCTTTTAAAACCCCTTGAAACAATAACATAGGGGAAAAACTGTGTATTGAATTTGCAGGTAAAATGCAAGGGAAGGATGGCCAGTAAGTTTGAGGGGCAGTTTATAAATTAAAATGATCCTGATGATCTGCACGTATGATCTGAAAAATTAGGTGCTTTTCAAAAGAGGACACGTTATCCCATATTAACATGGGATAAGAAGAGCTGTCTGACAGGAATAGATCTGTAGTCATGTTGTATGTTACAAAACATAAATACCAGTTTGACTATAGAAAGGAGTGTAGCCTCTAAGATGTGTGGACTAATCCGCCTGTTCTGCTTTGACATCAGTAAGGCCCTGATTTTGGACACAGCTATTGAGGATGGAGACCAACTAAAATGAATCTGGAGGGCAGCAGTGATGATAATGAGTAAGCTAGAAAACATGACCAGCAGAGAAAGAGTAACAAGAACGTGCTGAGCGTTAGGAGAAAAAAATGAGGAAGGAACGGACACAAGACTGCTGCAAAGAGTTTTTCATGTTCATCAGAGAACAAAAAGCTTAAATTCCAGCAAGGAACATACCAGTAGGGCTTTAAAAAGCCTTTGAATGATAAGGAGAGTTAAACGTTTTCATCAATGTGTCTGGGGATATTGTGCAGTCTCTGTGTTTGAAGGTCTTAAGTACAATAATCTTAGACCTTAACATATCTAAATAAGTACTTTTGGAAGACTGCTTAATTTTATTTTACAAAAAAATATATATACATATTTATTTATTTAAAAAAGCCAAGCTTCTTCCTCTCTCCCAATTTCATTATATTGTATGTTCCTTCTGAAACAGGAATGTCAAAACTTAACGCTAGGGATCTTGTCACACAGGCTGGCCAATATATGGATGTGATATCCCCAAAGAAAATGTAAAAAAAAGTATTTCTGCATGAAGCTTAAAATCTTTTTTCAATTTTTAGTCCCTTCTGAGTTTATTTCATGAAAGCATTTCTTTTGGCAGAGCATTAATTATCTTGTTTTCTGTTCATCATCCAGCATGTTTACAAAAGCCACTATGCAATTATTTTTTTGCCATATATTACAGCTTTTAAAGCAAAATTCTCCCTTTAAATAGAAATATGTGCTTGTAAAAAAGCCAGACATAAGTATACTGCTTTGAAATAGGTTTTATGTCAAAAATATATTTCCTGAAATTACCTCTTTTGCCTTGAATGCCATCAAAAATTTTCCATGGTATTTTTGTAATTAACACGTGTCACTTAAAGAACAATCTATTGTTAGTAAAATAAAATGCAAAACTTTGCTTAGTTAATGGAAAATAGGTGTTTTGTTTTGTTTGAACTATATCAGTTCAAACTCCTCCTGTTAGTTTACTTGCATGTCTTTAACTGAGTAAAGTATATTTATTTCTAGACAGCATGCAGTCTTTTATATCATTCATCTGGTTAAGAGTCTCAAACAACTAAAATTTTTATAATAATCTATGTCTTGTTAATGCTTCGAGCATAGTAATTCCTCCTACAAACGTGTTCCTTCACATAACCATTTGATTTACCACAGAAGCTTCTATGTTGGGAAAATATATGCAGCCAAATTTTAAAAAGGTTAATATAGAAGGTAGTGCTTAGGACAGCAAGCTCTCAATACAACCTGTTTTATGAAGGTTCTTTATTACTATAAAAGAGCTGATAAGGAGAGCTGATAAGAGTATTGAAAGGATGTACCTCAGTTTAAAAGCAGAATACAAACATTCAGAGAGGATATGGGGGAAAAAAAGCTTTGTCCATTTTTATTTATTTATTTTTGTTTGTTTGTTTTAGTGATCCCATCATTGTTTTGTTTGAAAGATTTGTGTGGTCTTTTTTTTTTTTTTTTTGGTCCTACGTTTTCATGTAAAAATTAATTAACCTAATGAAATTGCTTCATTGCATGACTTTACTAACCCTTCCTGTGTTCATTCTCTCCTGACTTAAAAGCATAATCCATTAGAATTTAACCCTGATGGCTTGAAGAAGGCTGCTGTTCAGAAAGCCCTAAAGGTAAAACTAATATAGTTGTCCATTTAAGGTCACAACAGTAATTGGAAGTGCACAAATGCCTGCAACACTTTCCTTGCAACAGTGAATGGAATTTCTTATGCCAGATCTATATTTAGTGCAATTCAGTTTTATTTACCATCTGATTTCAAGAAATGGTCAAGATGCTGGTAAAATTCCATGGTGTGTGGTAATCTGAATTTTAAATCAGTCAAGTAGAGCATTGGCTGCTTTAGAAGTCCAAAATAAATTAATCCTGAGAACTAGTGTGAAGAAGTATTTAAAGAACAAAGCCGACATGAAAGCTAAGACATCTTTTACATACTGATACTTCACTGCTCAACTCTGAATGACTAGCCAACAAATTCGATGTCTTACGTATTTTTGAATTAATCATTTTTCTGTTAGATGTTTTTGGAAGCTTTTACATCTTTTATATGAAAGCTGAATAAATTCAGCCCAGCCTTTTGATACAGAAGACTTCAAGTTGACTGGCAAACTTGGAAGGCATAAACCAAGTTCTCAGCTGGAGGAACTTGGACAATAGGCAGGCTGTAGTAGACTGAATATCCTGTCAACAGCAAAGTGGCAGATGTTAGGGGTGTGTTACTGTCTATTTAGCATGAATTATTATTATTTATATTTATGTATGAGAATAAGCAACAGGGTCTTTTTGCAAACTAGTGAAGTTTCTTCATTTTATGAAAAAAAGGGAGCTTTAGACACCTTTTTATGGGTGAAGAAAAAATGAAACAAATTTCTCTTACCATTTTTCCCACCATCAGCTGGAATGTAATCTGACTTTCTTTGTATTCCTTAGACCTTGTAGGCTGTTGTCTTTGATTAAGGCTATATACCTTTTATTAGAAATCACAAAAGAAAGGCAGCATTCATCCAAGAAAGGAGTGATTTCTACCAGCTTTTTTTTCTAGAGGAAACTATTGTTAATAAGCAGTGTGTCACAGTGTCACATTAAAATCAACTAATATTAGTAGAAGTATGATGTCAAAAACATAAGTTCAGATCCAAAATTACCTTAAAATACACTCATTCTTAAATTAAAAAAAAAAAATTATTTGAATTATTTGTGACCTTACATGCATAAAGTAGATTTTAACTAACTTTCTGTTTACAGTTTCCTACAGGTAGAACTCAAAGTATATTAACTATGCATACTGTACTGTCTAGGCCTTTTAAACTGCATTAACACCTACTTGAGATGATTAACTTTCATGTCTAACTTTTCTTTCTGACAATTTTTTTAGTTAATTTAAAATTTTTGAAAAAATATGTTATTGGGAATGTTCCTTTGTGTATGTAATTTGTTTCTAAACTGATGTTTATTTTCACAGTTTGATGTAATGCTATACAGCTGGTGAGCAAGGCTCAGATATGGCAGATGGTTGATTCTCTAGTAAAGAGTATTTGTTAAACTGTAGAAATATACATCAGGTACATCATAGTGAATCTTCTTTCTCCCCAGACTGAAAGTGGGGAATATCAATGTTCTGTTATTACATCTAGCTTAATAATAATACTGCCATGTAAATAAAGTGAACTTTCTGAGTTTGTGTTTTTTCCATATCTTCCATCTATATGCCTTACTCATTTTGCAATTTTAACTATGCTTCATAGCTTTGGGCGTTGTTGTATACTCATTAAAGGATTTGCACCTTTTCAGTTTCATCCAAAGAAAACAGAAAGGAGTCTAAAATTCCTGCTTATTTCTAATGTTTTGTTTTAGTTTACATAGGGAAGTTGGACACCTTCACGTTAATGTGTTCACCAGCCACTAGCCAGTCTGCCATTCCAGCCTGTTGAATAAAATGCTGAGAATAATAGATAGTCATACAGTAGAATGCAAATTAATTGTATTTTTAAGATGCAGACATTTAAGTTTCAGAGGAGACATTTAGGAGAAGAGTTTAGTCTGAAGACAAAGTTTTTGCTTTTTCTTTACCAGTCAGGAAAGAAAATAAACAGCAATCCCAACCCACTTGTTTTGCTGTCAGTTGGACACAAGGCACAGGAAAGTAAGGTAAGTTCCTGCTCTCTGTACCTGTCTCTGTCTGCAGACATTTGGTAGCACTTTGTGGTTGGTATTGGCTATGAAGCCCTTGAGCACATCCACTGCTCTAAAAGTTATCACCAGAACTGAAATTTCCAGTGAGGACCCAAGTATTGAATGGGTTCTTAATTCAAGATGTCTGTGAGTAGAGACCAGATTTGTAAATGTCCTTTCATAGTAGGTTCTGATCTGCAGCTGGGATTCCTGCCACAGTGGTTGTGTAAGTAACACTGTGAGCAAAACACAGGCTTCAAAACACTGATCAGGATTTGAAAATGCATAGACAGAAATGTCTAGGTTGGAGGGGATCAAGAAACTCATCTGGTTCAACCTTCAGTTTAAAGTAGGACCTTTGATTAACCAAAGTGCTGTGTAACTGTCATGGGTATTTCCAGCAGAGGAAATTCTACCACTTCTACAGGCATCCTATTTCAATGTTTTATTGTTTTCATGGTGAAGAATTTTATGTATATGAAAAATAAGAATTTCCCCTGAAGCAGCTGGTGGCTATTGCCTCTTGTCCTGCCATTATGTATCCTTGTCAATGGGTATCTCCACCTGGTCTATAACTACTTTTCAGATATTAGATTAGATTAGATCCCCCCTCCACTGCATTGACAAGAGCTTTATTAGACAAACATATTTTACAATTTGTCTGCTTCCTGTTCTTTCTGTTCTCTGACTTCAGATTCGATACAAGACCAATGAACCAGTATGGGAGGAAAACTTTACTTTCTTTGTACACAACCCCAAAAGACAAGATCTTGAAGTTGAGGTACATTGTCTCACTCTTTAGATACCTTTCTTTTTTAAGACTTTTCAGTAGAAATATTTAGATGTTATAGGCTGTTACGACATAACTATTATATTGTGAACACCATTACAGTTATGCTTAAATTGTTTTTTAATACTAGGCTATGAAATGTTATTAAAAATAAGAAAAAATATTATACCCAGTCTTTCAGTAGAACATGCTTGATGACTGTTATATTTAAATACATAACCTATGAGAAGAAAAGTAATTTTTGATGTCTGTTTTGAATCTTAAGTCTTCTCAATTGCTAGCAGAAATACCATTATGTATGGCTGATTTTGTTACCTTTCTCATACTGAGGAAGTCTTTGCTTTATCCAAATACCATATCCCCTTACACTGCTGAAATGTTATCCATGTAATAAATGAGGGCTGTCATAGTTGCTATTTCTCTAACAGTTATGGGAACTCATTTTTGCACAGGCCATTTGGAAACCACAGATATTTTGATCAGGGATCAACTAGATATATATTCTAGATGTTGATGTAGTTGGTTAGTTGTCTTGCTGTAGTTGTCTTGTTAGTATGTCTTGCTGTAGAAGATAGGGATGAAGAAAGTAGGCATGAAGTATATTTGCTATTTACTTCTTCAGTGTAAAGTAGTCTTATGATCAGGGAAGCTTGATTGAAGAACTATCTATGTTCCTCGTGCTTTTGTGCTTTTGTTTTTAAATAAAACTGTCATTTCATTTTCTTTCTGTGATTTTTTACAAAGTATATGATAACAACATTACTTACCTTCTGTGTTCCTTCAGGTGAGGGATGAACAGCACCAGTGTTCTCTGGGGAACCTCAAACTGCCTCTAAGTCAGTTGCTAGAGAGTGAAGATTTAACTATGCATCAGCGGTTCCACCTGAGCAACTCTGGTCCAAACAGCACTATAAACATGAAGATTGCACTCAGGGTACTCTTAAAACTTTTCACATTGTAAACATATGAAAGTGTATTTAAGACTATTATGACTTCTGGTCCTTTGTCTTTATGAAGAAGATGGTACCTTTCCTTGGCTGTCTGTCACAATGCCTGGTGTCCTTAGGCCAGCAGTGCTACCAAGTACACAAAGATATTCTCTAATTCAAATACATTCTATTTCAAAACCAGAAATTCTTGGAACAAAACAGTAATCTGCTTTAATTAAGACTGAGTTTCCCCTTGTTTTTAGGCTTGGAAACTGTATGGAATCTGAATTCCTGCTAGTCTTTTATGACTTAATCTTGATCTTACAGATCTTACAGTCACTGTAAGATCACTGAAATTGTTATCTTGCAGAAATGGAACAGAGGTCATCATGGTCAAAAAAAAAAAGAATTAAGTTTACGCAGAAAGGAAGTACCTTCATAGTACTAGAAAAATTCAGACCAACTTTCAAGTATATTGGAGACTTCATGAAAAAGCTTGCATGCTTGAAAGTTGGTTTTTGTTTTCCCCCAGGTAATTTATTTGGCATAATATGTCAGGGCACCTCTTTGGAACACTTCTGTTAACTTCTGTTATTTGTTCTTTTCTATGGCACTTTATGTAATATTTGTAACATGAAACTATTTCCTATTGTAAATGAGTGCGTGCGGCCAACATTTTTGGTCCTGGTTTACTGTCTTAATTTAACAACTTGTCACTAAGTACTCCCTGTAAAAACAAATATGTTCCTCTTTTTTTGTAGTATAGTAATATTGTGTCTATTTTAACTGTATCTAGGTCCTTTCTCTTGAAAAGCAAGCAAGATCTCCAGATCATCAACACTCAGCCCAAGTAAAAAGGCCGTCTGTTTCCAAAGATGCAAGAAAATCATCTTTTAAGCCTCAGGTTCCTGTCTCGCCACCACTTGATTCAAACAAACCTGTTCCAGCCTCCCCAGTGACTGACAGTGATAAAAAGACAGATGTGGCTGAAAAAAGTCAGCCTCCCAATGCCAGTCCTCAGTGGCCAACAGATCTCAGCCGAAGTTCTTCGAGTCTTCATGCCTCTAACTTCAATTATTCTCCCAGCCACCTCTCAGTCAAGGAACCAACTCCTAGCATAGCCTCAGACATATCTCTGCCCATTGCTACACAGGAGCTACGGCAAAGACTACGACAACTTGAGAAGTATGATGTTAATTACTTGTTTTGCAATACATCTAAGTTGCTTTATAAGAAAATGTTATGCAGCCAAAGAAATAGCTCAATTTGCATTTCAGTAATATTTTTCCTGTTGCATATTGAGCCTGGAATTAGAAAATCAGCCTTTGAACTTTCTGCTTCCTTTTGGTACCTCAGTTAGACAGATTTTGCAATTAGAAGTTACTACACCATTGTTGTGATCTGCAAGATAAAGTCCACCTTGCTCTCATTACTGCACTGACTATGTAGCGCTGAAAAGAGTGGAATGGTGAGAAGGAAGGATTTGTGTTGGTAAAACATTAGTCACACTCATGCCAGTAGTTGCTTGTTTCACCACTGAATCATATTAGCATTAAGCCAATTTAAGCTGACTATAGCTGGTCTTCTTCATAAATTACACAGAGGGATAGTTGACTATAAAGAATGTTAAGTGACTGGTCAGTTGTTATTCAATTAATGAGGATTGCTGCATCTATGATTTCTTAAATTCTCTATTTTTTTTTACTTACCTCAAAGGGCAGCTATACTTACCAGTAAAGGTAGCAGAGCAGCTATCCTACTCTGAATAGGAGAACAGAAGCCACTAGATCCCTGTTTAAGTTGGAAGCTTCTCTATGAGTCTAAGTAGATTCATAGAGAAAGACAGAGAGTACTCAGAGGAGTATGACTCAGTCTTTTATATAACGTTTGTTTTAAGGAATTAAAGACCATGGTTTAATTTGCTGTTGACTGTCTCTTCAATCTATACAAACCTATCAGCTTCTGTGCTCCAGTTCCCTATTTATCTTTAGGGTCCTTTGTTGGTTTGTCTTCATTTTGTCAGTCTCTCTTTTAGCCCAAAACTGGGTTAGACTTAATTATGATAAATGTTGAAATACTACTTATTATTTAACACACAAATTTAGTACTTCATTATTTGCCAAGAGTGGTAAAGCTCTTGAGGTCCTTTATTGCAAGCCCCATGTATTTAGGTACTCTGACCTTTATTCTTCTTATTTTTTTAGTAAGAAAATACTGAACAGAAATATTTCATTCTAGCCTATTGATCAATGGCTATTGAACTATGAGAAACTGATGAAGATTTGAAACTGATGTGAAGATTTCACATTTGTGTTCTCTCTTCTTTCACGTTGGTGCAGTGAAAGTTGAAATAGATAATACAATATTTCTGGAAATACTGTTCTGAAATACTTAATGAATTTCAGTTGGATCTTACTGTAAACATGTTATTTAAAAGCGTATAATATTCTGCTTTTTCACCACAGTGGAACTACTTTGGGGCAGTCTCCGTTAGGACAGATACAGCTAACAATTCGTCATAGTTCACAAAGAAACAAACTGATTGTGGTAGTGCATTCCTGCAGGTGAGCATAAGACAACAAATTTTATTTTTAGTTCTGTGGATATTTCTTGATATATGACTTTGTCATATCGTGACATACTGTCTTAAACTGATTGCATAGATGGTCTTAATTACTTTTAAAATGACATGCTGACTGTAATTACTTGTAAATACAAAATCGTACAGAGCTAGACTTACAACAGAATCAGTTAAAACTGAAGATTTCGCTGTTTTTTTTCCTTTGCCTATATCAGATTTTAGATTGAAATGGTATGTAGATTTCTATCAGAAGTGTCTAAAATCTTTATCTAAGAGCCTGACTTTTTCATGGAATGACAAAAAGCATGATTTTTGGAAAGCCACATGAAAGCATTGAATTGGAATTCAAGAAACATTAAGTTTCCAGCTCTGCTGTCTACTTACCATTTATCTGACCTTGTACAAGTTACTGCTTAGCAGTTTTTAGATTTTTCTCCACTGTTCTATGTATTAGAATGTAGCCAATATGTAGCCATACTTTGTGCAGGATATTCCACAACTGATTTATGTAAGGATTCTAAAATACAGTTGTCATAAAGATGCAGATGATTCTCAAACGGGTGTTGTTTCTAGAAATATTTTTCAACAAGTTTGATACTTCATGCATGGGAAACATCAAAGATATGTATGTGGTGATGAAGTGAACTTTGTTTAAATATAGAGTGCTAAATTAAGGGATAGTAGTGTGGACACATGCTTAGCAATGTTTATTTTCTAAAAATGTTTTTCCTTGTTCTTCACTGGTCACAGAAATCTAATAGCATTTTCTGAAGAAGGATCTGATCCATATGTTCGAATGTATTTGTTGCCTGATAAGAGAAGATCAGGAAGAAGAAAAACACATGTATCAAAGAAGACCTTAAACCCAGTGTTTGATCAAATGTATGTTCTAAACTGTGTGTAGTAGTTCTATATCATGTAATTATAAAGCTGCCAAACCAAGGTTTCTCAGCTTACCTGAATGGGTGAGTTGTTGAAACTCCCAGTTGTCACCACCAGACTTGCTCATACCTTTCTCTTCCTCTACAAATAGCTCTTTCCATCCTTCTGTTACCTGTTTTCACTATAACCCTTCTTACTCTGTCACCAGCCACTCCTCTCTTCTGCCTTATTCCATGTTGTATTCTGTTTGTGTGAGTAGCTAAGAAGCAGCACGCACTCCTGGGGCAGCTGGTTGGAACATGAGTGCCTTTTGTTTGGCCAGTGTGGCTGGTATTGCCAATGTAGCCTTCTTGACAAGAAGCATGTAGATGTAGATTCTGACTGGCCAGTTTGTTGGCTTGTCTCCTCTGTAGGACTGGCCAGACAGTGTTTGTACATGATCAAATTGCTCCGTCAATCTACTTTGTGGTACTTCTCAGCATCCAGTGAGTCAGGAAATTTCCATGTGGATTAAATCCTGACCAACAGGTTGGGATTTGTGCAAGCTTGTGCAGAATTTCATTGCATACAGATCCTTATCTTTGTACTCAGCTTTCTGATGATGGTTTCACTCAGATGCATACCTCTTCCTCCCTCACCCATCACTTCTCAATAACGAAGAGCATTCTCTATAGATAGGAAATTAGTTTGGGGAAAAAAAAACACTTCAGTACATTCTGTCCAAGGAAATCTGTAAATTGTTAGTTAGAGGCTCTGGTAGATACACCTGGTACTGCAGCTCGCTCCTGTTTATCCCAGGATTTGTTCTTCTGTGCTTTTCAAAGTAAAAGGTATTGCAAAGCGGTAAAGCTGCTTAAAAACTGTAGTGACAAACAGATGTAGGTTGTGGTGCAATCCTGCCCTTACTTTCTGTAAGTTTCAGATCTAGCAAACAAAATGCGTTCTTTCTTAAAAGTTGATAGTTTTCTTGGTGTGAAAATGAGCTCTGGTTCTAAATGAATGAAGATCAAGACTGATCAGTGTTTCATTCTGGAGAATAGTGGTGCTGAGCTGTCAAGATAGTAGGATTCTTCACTTTCTTCTCTGCAGAGTCAGTGATTGGCCTTTTCTTTGTTTTGTTTGTTGCTTTTAGCAATGGGACAGAAGTATCAAATGTTTGATGTTGATTTGGTATTAATATTGATCAAAGTATAGAAGAAAAATTTTAGGCAAAACTTTGGGATTTTTTCTCTCATCATTTATCTCAAGGCTTTTTTGGGGGGGATTTGTTTGGGGAGGGGCATAATTTGGTTTAGATTTGAATTGCTGTTTTGCTGTAGGAACTGAATTTGCACTTCAGTTACAACATTCTCCCTAAAGCTTCACTTTTTTATGTCAGATTTGATTTCAGTGTTTCCCTCCCTGAAGTACAGAGAAGAACACTAGATGTAGCAGTGAAGAACAGTGGTGGTTTCTTGTCCAAAGATAAAGGGCTGCTTGGCAAAGTAAGTTGAAAATAAGCAATTTCCTTTTGTACTGTATGTTGCTATATAAAGATTAAAATTCACTTGTGATATGAGCTTGTTAGTGTTGACTGACATAGCTGATTCAGGTAAGAAGCTTTCAAAAATTATAGATGGCTTAGATGTCAGGCTTCAGTAAAGGAAGGAATGAAGTGCTAAGGATGAGGGGACCTATATCAGACTGTGAGGTAGTAATCTCTTAATCTCTTCTAGAGAATGGTAAGTTCTGAGGCTGGCAGTTAAAAAAAAAAAAAAAGGTAATAATAACCCTGCATGTCTGATTTATTAATTATACAGTCAGAGAAACTAAATAACAGCCAGTAGAAAACTACTGGTATCTCAGGAAATGGTCTGGCAAAGTTGCTGGTCTTAAACACAGGTGGTTCAGACATCTTATTTGCAGCAGCAGTGAGAGCTTTTGCATTATGTCAAACCTAAAGGACAAGAAAAATTACACAGTTATGCTTAGTAATTAAAATTCCAGAAAATCCATGAAAAAGAACTACTGGAGGCATTCCTAATGCCAGAACCAGCTACTGTGTTTATACCTTCACTGTTCAACAGGCACTCATTAAATCACTCTGTTTCCTACACGTAGGAACAGTATATTCTTACACCCATGCAGATTGCCATATTCAAACTCTGTAAAGAGGATGACCACGGTTCTAATCTCTCTCAGTTTATGGCGAATGGTGTGTTCTTAATTTTCCTGTTTACAAGGACATCTGTTAGCATAAATACATCATTTGACTGCCATATCCTTTGTTCAGAAGTTATGCTTGTGAGGTGCTCTGGCACCAGTTTAAGGGTGCAGATTTTTAGGTTAAAACTAGCAGTTTGAAACTGTATTACAAGCCTACAGATAGAAGTTAGCTATGATGGCGGGATTGTAAAACATGTTGTTTATTAATAGTATTATTTATCCTGTAGTTGACAGGATTGTCAAATTTAGTCTTTAAAAGATGTTGAATGAAAGAAACAAGGTGTTAATCACTAATTTCAACTTTCCACAGGTATTGATACCTCTGGCATCTGAAGAACTTGCTAAAGGCTGGACCCAGTGGTAAGTATATTTCCTTTATTAATAATAATATTGCATACTAATAACTTGTATGTTATTAGTGTTAATAATATATGCTAAATGTAAAAACATTTTCCTTTGTTCTCTTTGTTTTCAGGTATGACTTAACAGAGGATGGTACAAGACCACATGGTGCAAGCTAGGCCCATGGAAACTGGGAATTCCTGACACATACCTTTGCCAACCTTTATATATTTTTTAAGCATTGTTCTCACAGATGTACCAATATTATTTTTATAGCTTTACCAATTTAGTTGTTAGACACATCCCCAATAATTTTATAACACTTGGTCATTTTATGTAGACATACAGTTTCTCATTGTTAAATTTTGTATTTTAATTTGCTCAACAGTTTTCCATGTTACTGTCATGTGCAATCGTAAAGTAACCTTTTGTGTTTAAGTTCATCTTTATGGTGGTTATACTTATTAGAAAGTGAAAAGATGTTTCCTGCCTTGTTTTATATCTCACCAAGCTATACTGTACCATGTAAATATATACTATTTTTTTATAATTCTTTCATGCCGGTTTGAATTAAGAAGAAAATTAGATAAAGGATATAGATATTTTCTTCTAAATGCATGTTAATTTCTTCAAATGAATCTCTTTTGTCTTTGCAGCACAATGGTCTTAATGTTAATCATTTTGTGATATTCTTCAAAAACAAACTGCAGAAAAATGTTTTTACTTTATTGTGCTTCTGGCCCAGTGTGGCAACTTTAAAATGTACAAAACATTAACATTTTAGTATTTATATATAAATGTATTATTGGAAAATCATGCTATAGAATATTATAAACAGAAATGAGAATTCTATAAATATTGTATAAAGAGAGGTCCATGAATCACAATTTATAAATTTGAGTTTTCATTTAATGGAGTAAACATTACAAACAGTACAGTTTGTTATACAGGTTCACTTGGGTTTTGTTATTTATTCCTGTACTCTACAGTACTGAACACGTGACCCTTTGAAGGCACGAGGACATGGATTTTACTGTATTATAAACAAATCTCTATTTAGAACTGTCCTGTCTGCCTTGTTTCACCGATAAGGAATACAAATCGGCTTGCAATGTAAGTTCATACAGTAGGCATACATACAAAACATATGTTCTTTTTATTATAGAATACTGTGCTAAATAGTTTATTATTCTATACCTTCCGTAATACTACAATGGAACACCAATATGTAAGAAAGTGTGAAACTGAGTTGAAAGTGACTGTCTTTACAGTTGCCTCATTGCTACTTAGCATGTTTGGTGCATGAAGAAAATGCACATCAGTGGTCCACACAGCTTTCTTGAGAAATAATGGCGTTCTACTGAAGCATTGCCATAGTCTGCTGCAAGATCAGTAGTGATACTCAAACTGATAAAAGTAGACAGTTGCAAGTTGAAGGGAGAGTATCAGCCTCAACAGCTGAGCTCACAGCTCTAGTTTTATGAATTATGGGGTGTTTTTGTATCCTGAACTGATTTTTCTTTTGCTGGTAAGTTTTCTCAGACTGTTATTAAAAAATAAATAAAAATGTGCATTATGAATCCAAGAGAACAGTTGAGCTCTTTCAGAGCCAACAGCCTCATTCTTGGATAAGTATGCAATTAGACAGAAGAAGTACATTATTTAGCTAAGATTCTAGAATGATCTCTCAGCCAAGAAAGAATTTTAAAGCATAACAATAAACTCCTGAAATTAGCTTTATTGTAAAATTACTGACGGAACCTTAATTCTAGATGTAGAATATGCCTACATTACTAGATGTACCAAAGTGCCTACCATAGATGTAGCTTTTTGTCTTTTTCAAGTTTAAGAATTGACTTATTTCAGTTTGTCAAAATTCAATTTAACATTTCTCACACAGATGTGACACACACATACACCTCTATACAGTGATGGCCTTCTTATTGCCACATTTTATATGAGACAATCTTTGCAAACAAACCTACGTTGAAGATTTTGCTGCTGTTTTTCTGAGGGACTGGGCAATAGAGAGAGGTTCTTTGTAAGAAATGTTTCTGTTTGAAGGCTTCACTTTATATGGGATTGTATGAGTGTCTATATACATATACACTCATCTGTTCATCTAAAATATATATATTATGAAACAGATTTTCTTTACTAGATCTCTGTTAAAATGCTAGGAATGAAAAAAAAACCAGAATTATTGTTAATGCAGTGAAAATACAAAAAGCAAAAGGTGTTTTAAGAAAGAGGTGTGTATGCAGTAGTTCAGCACAATTGTCTTTTGCCTTGGTTCAGTCAGAGGTGGAAGGACTTTTGCACTACATCTTAGCCAGTGACTCAGCAGAATCTGATCCCAAGCATGCAGATAAGCAGTTAGACTGATACAGTGCTTCAAGTCTTAAGTGAGGTCTGGGGACTGATGTTGGAAGTCTGCACTTGAACAAAAAGAGCGCGTATTTTGTCTTCTGAAGTCTCCAGGGGAAAAGATGCTGTGTTTGGGTAAACACAAGATGATACCACAAAGTGAGGAACTGAATAAATTGTATTGGACGGGTTTTCAAAAAAGCTCAGGACCCCACATTAGGGATAGATTCTTAAGAGAAGTGCAGTTGCTATTTAGTAATCCGAAATGGAGAGAAGGTAATTCAGCAACAATGCAAATTCCATAATTCCAATTGGCAGGTAGCAGTCATGGATGCCACACCATTTAGAAATGTTTAGGAGAGTGAATCTGGATCAGAATAAGATTGCCTATTGTTGGTAGTGGAAGCAAACCTTTGTATCGTAGTTACCAGGTTCTGAGTGTTCTGTTTGTATGGAAGTAGCAAGGACAAACACCACTTTTCCTCTGGGCAAAAATTGCACTTCATTATCAAGTCAATGTATTCAGTATCAACTGATAGCTTTTCATGTAGTTCTTGTTTATCCTGTGCCTTAAAATACGAACATATGAAGATGTTTAAGAAATGGCTAAAATGAGCTTTGTTACTTGTATGTATCAACCACAGTCTCTAGTATTGAAACTGTTTTTAGGATTACTCTGCTTCACTGACATGAAAACCAGCTCTCTTTTACCGCAGTGATCCAGCCCAAACTCAAATCAGCATGCATATCAATCAAGTTTGGGTTAAAAGAATTTTAGTTTTGTCTTGAATCCTTTATCAGAGCTGCAGCTAATGGTGAGAGTTGAAATGAGAACAAAGGGTAATCAATTTTGTACAGATTGCCTTTTTTGCTCATGTAATTCTACATTATGATGCATGTATTCAATAAATGGTTCATATGGAAGTCAGTGTCTTGCTTCCCTCTAAACGCACCCTGTTTTTTTCTCTTTTGTATTTCCTGTCTGAATTTGTAATCTAAGCGAATTTTATCCTGTTAAAATAGCCACATGTTCCAACTACTGCAACCTAGGTGGCCTTGCTGTGAGGTGTACAGGCAGATTTTGGGGTTTTATGTGAGAGAAAGTGGAGTGAGAAGTACAGGATGAATCTCTGAACTGGGGAATTCCATGCTTGTTGGTTTGGAACAGGTTCACACATAAATTGAACAAAGAGCATATTAAATCTTTTTTTTTTTTTCTCTTAAAATAATCAATTGAACAATTTCTTACAATTCTAGCACATGCTAATTGTAATGAAATATGTTTTCAAATGCACCTGGAACTTAACTACTTATAATACCCCTTCCTTTAAACAGCTAAAACATGTCTATCCATAGTTAAAAACTGCAGATATCCGTAACCTGGGCACTGTTGTATTTTGAAGGAACCCCACAGGATACACATTATTGGTGCTAACTACAAAATTACAAGGTTTGTGTTGTAGAAGGGTGTTTTGGAGGAAGTATCTTTCTTTGTAGCAGAATAAATGGCTTCTGTTGATCAAAGGGAGGACGAATTTAGATCCAAATCAAACCTTCCCTTCAGGTGGTAACTGGACCTGCACTTGCAAAGTGTGCTGCCTGTGTTCATGAGAACTTGTCAGTGTACAACAGTCCAGATGGGCTTGGTTACTGATCTGATGGGCTCAGCCATACCTAGACTTTTTCTTAATGTTGGTTGCAATGTGTAAACCATTTTGGACCATCCTCTAGTTTCCATCTTGTCAATATTGTTACCAATACAGTTATTTCAGCTAAGAGCTGAACAAAAAATTGGTTTGTGATTAGTGTGATTTCTGCTTTAATTATTTTAATTATGTGTATTTCCACCCCCAGACAAACTCTGAATGTTGGATGGCAACTTGGACATTTGGTAGAAAGAACCAAAACTTCAGATGGTCCCCAGACCTATTTGTGGCTGTAGCTGGCTGCTGAGGGATTTGAGCTATTTCATGACAAGTATTGTTTTTATACACCTTAACAAAGTGTCTACCTTTATCATTGTGTGCTCTTCTGCTAATTTCTAAGGCTTATTGTCAGGCTTTCATCAATATTCTCTGCCATCTTCTGAAATACATTATCTGCAAATTGCAAAGCAGCTGAAGTAAGAAACCCACTTGTATTTCTAAGTGCTATGTCGTGAGCTTAGCTGCCAGATTAGATGGCAGCTCTGGGAGCAAAGTTCGCTCATCTGTATTCATGTGGTAGGGGTGATGCTCTCTGTTCTCAGCATCTGCAGGGAATACTGCTTGCCAGTCACCTACAGTGGGATCCAATTTGAGCAGACTGCTGCATATCTGTTTCCTTAGATGCAACTGAAGTGAAGCCAACCTGTCTCCTTTTGTTCCTGTGAGCGCTCAGTAGCCATACCCTTCACTGCAAAGGAGTTAAGAGCTAACAGGGACCATTCTTCCCTTTAACTTCCATACAGAAACAGGTATGAGGACGCAAAGCCAGTCAAGATGCCATCCTTATACTGGGGCTGTACATGCCCACATCCCAGGGGACCACAGCTGGGGTGATTCTTGGCATGGGGACAATGGGACCGTGGGACCCACTCCTGCCAGAACCTGATAACCCAACTGCCCCCACTGATGGCTGTGCAGCCTGAGAGGTGACGTACATAAGAAAGTCACGAAGTCCCAGCATCCTGGCTGTCCTGTGACTTCATTTACCAGTGCGTAGTGAGAACCTGTTGTGTAACTGTGTGGATCAACTTGTGTTTTATTTATTTATTTATTTATTTATTTATTTATTTTGTTTTGTTTAATGGAATTGTTGTAAGCAGAAGTTTGAACTAGATGACATGTGGAGGTCCCTTCCAGCATGAATTATTCTATAACTCTTGAGTACATTTTTTCATGTTAAGTAAATGCATTTTTGGTCCCATGCAGCATATCCTCATGGGCATTTTGCTGCCTGACCCCAAGCTCTCAGAGAGGGGCTTGGAACAACACTGGCTGAGCACAAAAACAGGGAAAAGTTGCAATCTTTGATAATTGAGTGTGTAAAAATTATTTAGTAATTAAAAATGTTATGTATAGAATTTGAGCTATAACATAGATAATTCTAGCAAAATGACAGTTGTCTCTTGAAGTTTAGTTCAAGTTACCAGGTTTCAGTGTTTTCAACCTAGAATTGATAAGGCTCTTTATCTGGTTTGGCTTGAATCAAACTATTCTCTAAGCTAAAGTAAACATGATAACCAGTGAGCAGGTGCTCTGTTGTGACTTTCAATTCAGAGCTTAGTTGGATAAATGTGACAGACTCTGACAGCAGCATCCAAATGAAGAACTTTTTTTTTAAGGCATGTCGCTCATACAGGTGATGAAAAATGAAATAAAATGTAATTAAGTGAAAATGAGTTCATGGAAATGGTTGTGACTCATGGACTGGTATTTGTGGCAATGCTAAATCTTCATGTTTCATTAGGTAAATCATTAATATGCAGGTAAAGTGAGTTGGAATTGAAGCCTTAAGATACTAAGAGAGATTTCTGAAACGGTTGTAAATCCTCAAGAGTCTTATGTAACTTTGCTCTACATCATAGCTTTCATTGTATTTAACATGCTCTTTCTAGTTCAGATTATTGGGAATGAAAATAATACTTATTTTTTAACATTGAATTTGCTTATAAAGCATTTTAGTTTTGCTTGACTTTCACAATGAGACACTAAAGTTTTGGGATTTATGCACATAGTGCATTTTTTTTTCTTTCTTTTTTTTCTCCTGTAGACACCTTTATATTCCACTAGATGGTAGTGCAGATCCTATTCTGAAATCTGCTGCCTGTTCACTTTGTTTCTTGCACAGCAGTTAAGTGGTGTGGATCCCTGGTATCTTTGGAAGTGGAGCCTGAAGTCAACGTTGCTGAAAAGCAGTGAAAAATGGGCATACACCCCAATGTGCTCTGCTTTCCTTCTTTACTCTGAGGCACAGAACTGAGTTTCATAATGGGGTTAATAACATGGGGATTCATTTTGCCAAAACATTTTTATAAAGGCATCTGCTCATCAGGCACTTGGAAATAAAACAACTGGTCCGTGATTTGAGGAAGCATGAAACTTCTGGAAGATTCAGGTTCTACATTCTCCAAAATCTAGTATACATCTGTGTCAGCAATTCAGATAGGTGTTTCATGCCCTGTAAATTTAGCTGCCCTGTAAAATTGGAGTTGATTATATTACTCCCTAGAGGAGTTGACAGAACTCTAAAGGGAGACAGAAGTCAAATTACAGTTTAAGACATGGGAAAGGTTCTTGACCAGCATATTTAAACATTATTACACTTTAAGTATGTATTTCTACTGTTAGCTCAAGAATGAGGCTAGGAACTCAGGATGTCCAACAGTAAAATCCATCATGCAATAATACCATAAACATAGGGAAAAATGGGCAAAGACAAGGCTGTACTAGAAAAATATTATGAAACAATTTTCCTTTGCTTAAGGACACGATCAGAGAATACATGCCAAATGACATAGTCACCAGGTCTTGTGATGCTAGATCTGTTTGATACACAGACCAGGAATAATTGACAGGTATGTCTAAATCTGTGAGCACTTCCAAGAGCCTGACTCCAAACATAACCCCATATGATACTGCACTGAGCAAGTATTACACTCCCTTAATTCCCTATTTATTTGTTTGTGAATGAAGGAAACTGGGCATGCAGTCTGCAAGAAAAATAGTACAATGGGCTTTGGTTAGGCTCCTGATCTGGATCAGGAACATGGGGAATAGTTGTGTCTCAGCCTTGACAAAGCCAACAATGATGTGAGAGACAAATAAATGCTGGTGGGTTCTACAACCAAGGTAAAGTAGTTTGCCACAATAATACGTACACACACATATTTGCACATATATGTATATATATTTATAAAAGCAACTATAAACAAATCATGTCCATTCTGATATACAATGTACTCATGTTTCATACTAGACAGATGGAACAGAGAATCTCCTATCTCTGATGCCTCTCTATACAGTATTTTTATACTTCTGAAACAGTTCTTTTCTTTATCCATAAAGTCTAAAATAGCTGAAAGGAGATGGAACCCTTACAAGAGCTGTAGGTCTCTTATAATTCAGAATGTTGCGTTTCATAGGGTTAAAGTAGTCTAGACATGGCAGATGTGACTGGTGACTGGAGTGTTTTGCATCTGAAACAAGTGACTAAGTGTACTCATCGATACATAATATTCTGAAGATGCTCATGACTTTATGCTATAAAATTCTGTAGTTATGAATACTAATACTTCTTTTGTTTACAGCAAGATGGATATAGCCACACAAATACTGACATGATAGTTTCTTTTTGTGGGCGTTTAATAGCATTTCAGAAATCTCTTTTAATTTTGATGGTACTAATATTTAATGGAGTAAAATTATCATGATTTAAAACACTCCCTTTAATGAAACAGGTCTAAAAGTAAGAGCATAATAATAACTATTTGATCATAACGCATCATAATAAAGCAAAATAAATAAAGTTGCACTGTTTTCACAGCTGAAACTCGTCTTGGTGTGAACGTGCAAGTCACCCAGCAGTACCAGTAAGATCCCACAGGGTGGCACTTCAGTACTTAAAGAGCATCGCGAGCTACTCCAGGGAGTGGCTTTTAAGAAAAGCTTTTGCATCCCCTGGGCGCATTTTATTTCCGTATTTTTGTTCCAGTTAACAAGTATCTTTTTTTTTTTTTATCTGTAGTGAATGTTTTCTTATTTTTTTTCTACTTAATCTCTTAAACTCCCAAATTGTTCCATGTTAATATTAATTATTTAAGGGAAATAAGCAGTTTCATGGTCTAATCACGCCACCGTTGAAAACTGACAGTTGCCCCCGAATAAAGGTTGGAATGATTGGCAGTATTACCTTCAGGCAAGGGGAGATCTGGAGAAGTGGAATAGTGTGAAACTTCATCTCTCTCCCATGCTGTTCAGATTATTTATCAAAGTATGAGAAGATCAAAAAAAAAAAAAAAGGAAATGAATGCATGTAAATTATTAACAGTGTGCCCCAGAGGATAAGCAGATTCATGGATACTGTATTAACTATAACAAATTATATATTAAAATGGAAAGAAACAGAAGTGAATTGTAAAAGGTTAGTAGATAATGTGTACAATAATCTCATCAGAAATTATCATCTAGAAAAAATGTTGCAAATAGGAAAAAATAAATAAATAAATGCCAAGAAAGCATCTGACACTCAGGGCACTGCCTGTTTGTTTATTTTTACAAGTATTTATAGTGTAGACTCATACAGGTTAAAATGGAATATTTGATACAGTCCAACCTATGATATTCTTGTGAGAGACATTTGTAATTGAGATCTCTCATACAGGCTACCAACAAGAATAAAGACTAGTTTATGAAGTGGTAGCACAAAAGCAAATCTTTATTTGCTGTTGCTCAGCAACCATGTGTGGAAGGCCCATTTTTCATTTTTGCCTTAACTTGACTTGACAGGAAAATGATAATAAATACGAGATTATTATCAAAGGGTATAGATTATTTTGAACAGATGAACAGACATGTCAGAAAGAGGCATGTTATTTGGTACTCGTGAACGGGGGAACATTAGAGAAACTGAAAATAGGGTTATAGCTTCATTACTAGCTTGCAGTTCATGCACGATTCTTGAAGAAAAAAAAAAAAAGATAAAAAAAACTACAAAACCCTATTCTGCCTCTCTTAGTTTCTCCACCTAGTTCTTTAAAATGAATCATACAGTGTTATTCAGTCTGTTGTTACCTATGTTAACTTTTAGTTTCAATACTATGAAAAAATCCTTCTGTGGTTGCTATGCAACACAAATTATAAGCTAAAATATGTTTTAGTTCATTTGCTAAATGGATATGTGCCTGACTAAATAAACAGTAGCCAGGTGATTAACGTAGCATCTAATTAAAAGACTAATCAAGGTATTAATGAAATATTCAGACCACACAAGAAACATGATAAACAAATCCATCAGTTTGGATCTAAAATGTCAAAGATTCTTAATATATGCAAAAAGAGTAGACATTAGCACAATGTAGAAATGTCAGTTTTCATACTTTTCTATTTGCTTTCGCTATTCTCCAAGTGTGATAATTGCTCATACAACTTATTTCGAGCAAACCACTTCACAATCTTTTTGCAGTTAGCTGAATCTTAAGAAAAAAAAAAAGTCAGGTCTTTGGGATCTGAAACAAACCTAATCCTTGAACCTTCTCTATAGTAGAGCAGCAAAATGCTTCCTTCTTTTGGTATTCTGTCCCTGGGAGGCAATGTTTTCACAGGGTGGGGATTAAGGTTGGGCACAGATTTGTCTCTCCAGGGACCCTTCTCTGTGGCTGCCAGGAGGTTGGTTGATGTTGGTAATTTGCTGGATTGCCTCTTCCACACTTCAAAGGAGACAGGCCTTTGTACAGATGCAAAATGATGTGAAGAGGTACGTGCTTCTTCGGATTCAGGTAGAGACAAAGAGTGGCACTGAACTGCCTGTGCACAAAAGACAGGTTATTTTTGTTGCTCAAGAAAATGAATTTCTTGGCTTCTAACTCCTTCTGCTTTATTGTTCCTTGGGTACACAATCATCTTGATTACCACTTGTAAGTAACACAACCCATTCGCCAACTCCTAGAGCAATTTCTATGTGGCAAATATTTGGGTTAAAATCAAGTTATTCCAAAAGTTTCTCATATTAGTCACCTGTTAAATTTTTTAACCAATACAAAATAGCAGTAACTATGGGATAATCCTATAATAACCTATTTTTTCATCCTAGTCTTCAAACTATGTAAAAACAAACATATAGGTTACTTTAAAAATGTAACAGGAAAAGTCTGTAATTCAAATATATATGGCATAAAATGTTCCAGTCTTAATTTTGAATATAAACTAATACCGCGAGAGAGAGTAATATCAAAGAAAATTCCATGTTAAAAATTAAATATTAACAGAATACATAAACACTACTTTTAAAAAGGGAATTTGTGCATATAATAGTAAATTTGAACAGAATTAGATTACATAAAAAACAAACAAACAAACAAAAACACAACAACAATCCAGGAAAGTCCAGTGAGATGTAAGAATTTATATGGAAATTGTTGGGTTTTTGTTTGTGAAGAAAAGCAGCATATGCTGTACTACTGTCAGACAGAAAGTAAACAATTTCAGGCAAGCATCTCCTCCGAACAGCTAACAACACTGAAAAATATTGAGAAGTGTTATGCTACTGCAAATGCAAAATTGAAAGATAGAAGTTAAGCCCTTAACAAGACGTATTGACTCTTCTTGGTTTGTAGAGGAGCTCAAGCAAATGGAACATTTTTTAATTTCACATTTCAAAAATTTTTTTTGAAATTTTTCAACATTTTCAAATTTTACAAAATTTGAAACCTGCTTATGTTTAATTCAAGAAATTGAGTCCAACTATTTCTGCTCACTATAAAAAAAAAAAAAAAGTTATCAAAGTGTAAATATCATCTAGCCTACACAGTTTCCTGTGGCAAGCAGCTTGGTTAGGTCTTCATCATTTTGGATGAAGAATATGTAATGCATGTATTGTTTGCCGTGACTGAGATTAAATGTGTAGCTGTCAACACTAGCAACAGGAACATTCTTGGGGGAAAAAGTCACCAAAGTAATCAGCTGGCTGTTGCAGGCTTTGTGTGTTGACAGAATTTTTCTTTTTTGCAAGAACACTATATCTGTGTTACCAGAGATCCATGGAAGAAGACATGCTGTTTCTTAGGCACGTTTCTTACTTAGGCTCCATTTTGTATTTAGGCTGTTTCTTATACATGAACTTAACTCAATGTGTACTGTCCCAGTCTGAAGTCATCAAGACTTAAGAGCTACAGGAAGACAGAAGTGTCTTCTGTATGTAGATTTACTCCATTTGCCCCTTCCAGGTAATTGGCTGGACAGTAATTGACTGGATGAGATCATAGAATCATAGATTGGCTGAGATTGGAAGGGATCTTAAGGATCATCTAGTTCCAACCCCCTGCCATGGGCAGGGATCCCACCCACTGGATGCTCAGGGGCCATCCAACCTGGTCTTAGACACCTCCAGGGATGGGGCATCCACAGCTTCTCTGGGCAGCCTGTGCCAGTGCCTCACCACCCTCTGAGTGAAGAATTTCCTCCTAACCTCTAATCTAAATCTCGCCTCTTCTAGTTTAAAACCATTCCCTCTTGTTCTGTCATTACCTGATTGAGCAAAAAGTTGCTCTCCAACTTTTTTATATCACCCCATAAAGTATTGAAAAACTGCAATGAGGTCACCCCAGACCCTTCTCCAGGCTGAACACCCCCAGCTCTAACATCTCTTTATAGAAGTGCTCCAGCCCCTTGATAAACTTTGTGGCCCTCTGGACCCGCTCCACAGCCCCACATCCTTCTTGTGCTGAGGGGCCCCAAACCTGGACACAGCACACCAAGTGGGGCCTCACAAGGGCAGAGCAGAGGGGGACAATCACCTCCCTCCCCTGCTGGCCATCCCCCTGTCAATGCAGCCCAGGATGCAGTTGGCAAGCACAGACTGCTGGCTCATGTTGAGCTTTTTGTTCAGCAGCACCCCCTAAGACCTTCTTTTCAGGGCTGCTCAACGAGTTCTTCTCCCAGTCTTTGCTCATGTCTGGGATTGCCCTGACCCAGGTGCAGCACCTTGCATTTAGACGTCTTGAACCTCATTAGGTTCACACGGGCCCACTTTTCTGGCTTGTCCAGCTCCTTCTGGATGGCATCCCTTCCTTCTGGTGTATCAACTGCACCACTTAACTTGGTGTCATCTGCAAACTTGCTGAGGGTGCACTCGACCCCACTGTCTATATCATTGATAAAGATATTAAACAGCAGGTCTCAAGACAAGTGAGCATTTATTGTAAGGTGAAAACAGTATAGCACCATTTCTGCGTAGCCAAGTTTGAGACAGAGCAGAGTAGCCTATATTGGGCTGTCCAGCCGCGTCCATTAACAGGACTGTGTAACCCAGCTCATCTCCCCACCTCCCCTGATCCCACCATGACCCCAGCCCCGCCGCCACATTCCTCAGCCCCCAAAACCCCACCCAGGCACAAGAAAGAAGCCAAACACGCATATTTCGTTTCTCTTTTTGCTTTAATCTCCTGGATTTCACACACAGAACCCCCCTTCCACAACAGGGCAGTGCCCCTGCCCGCCATGGCAGCGCAGACTCTCAGCCCGCCCTGACGGGCGTGAGGGGGAGAAGGAAGCGGCGCTGCTCTCGCGAGACGCGAGCTCGGCGCCGCCCGCCCGCCCGCGCCCAACGGCCGCCGCGGGACGATTCGAACCCGGCAGCGGAGCGCGCGCGGCGGGGCCCGGCCCGGCGGCGCCTCAGCGTGAGCGGGGCCGTGCCCGGTGCCCCCCGGCCCCGTGTCCCCCATCCCCTGCCCCTCCGGCCCCACAACCTGCCCTGCGTGGGACAGCGGAACTGGTAAGGGCGAAGCGGGGCTGTCAGGAGCAGGGGGAGCGCTGAGGGGAGGAGGTGGAGCCCCTGGTGCCAGCCCGTCTCCCGGGGTCGTCGCTTGACAAGGGAAAAGGGGAGAAAGTTGTGGTGGTTTGGTGCCCGTCAGAGCTCTTCGGGCGGGTGGACGTTGCCGGCTGGAGTTTCGGCCATGTAAATGCCCTGCTTAGCAATGCTCGTGGTGGGAACGCTGTCCTTGTTAAAAAGTGGAAGTGTCAACCAAAACATTCTTCTAAATCTGATTTTCACGCTTTCTCAGTCAATCTAAAGTGAATTAACACATACAGGTAAGGCAGCCTAGTACAGTTACAAATCTAAATATTGATTTTGGTAATTGTAATGATCTCTGGGGACATATTTTGCTCACAACCACGTAGATAAAGCTGTACATAAATATATGCTTATATACCATTCACTGAGACCATAAGTGATTATGTTTTGAGACATAATACTTTTCTCTAACTTCATATGTTTCTTTTTCTTTTCTTTATAAAGCAAGGTGAAACAAGACCACAATGAAACGTGAAGAGTTTTTGCAAGTTGTGTCTAAAGAGTCGATTGAAGACTTCTTGCGTTTTACTCAGACTCCCGTAAGTCAGCCATGGTACACATACCTGACTAATAAGATCTAAAGTCTGCTGTCAGTGCACAGGTTTTTGTGGCATGGGGACAGAAACTATTTTTCTGGTATCTGCAAAGGTGCAAGAATAATTGTCATAGGAAAGAACTTCCTATGACGCTTAATGGAACATATAAAAAGGTGTGGAATCTGAAATTTCGCTGTGACAGCCCAGTTGATATTCCTAAGAGTTGGTTGTTCCATGTGCAGTTTGCATTTTTAAGATAATGATTTATACTATGGTAATACTAAAAAAAAAAAAAAAAAGTTAACCTTTGAAAGTGTCACTGTCTTGCTGTGTAAGGAATATGAGCTAATACACAAACACAGCAGAGGTATGCTTCGCTAGTGCTTATTCATTCATCTGATAGTTTAGGTTGTATACTCGTTCTTTAGTCCATGTGTAATCGTACTTGGTAGTTCTTGCTACCATTGAACGTCTTAGAGATGTGAGCGATTGCTGGCTGTAAATGCAACGTGGAGAGAAGCATGAGGAAGAAGAAAACAAATACACTGAAATTCACTAATTAAAAGTTCAGCGTCACTTCTTTTATATGATATTTCACTTAAAAAATTGCATTGTGGTGTTTGCTGCTAAGCTTCGATCTGCTGTGAAGACAACCTGTTTCTCCTAATCATCTTCTGCTAGCCTTAGTAAATGGTATTGTCAGGTTAGTTTCTTAAGCTTTCTCTGTAGCAGCCTTTCTATTCTTTTATTATAAACCAGGTATTACAAAGAGGGTGTCTTCAGGTTAGTTCTGCTTTGCTATATTGAAAGCTAGAGATGTGGGATGTTTTTGTTTTTAAGAATTAGTTTTAGTTTCACACCTTTGAGGATCTTGTCATATAATGTCTCTACTTTTTTATTTTTTATTTTTTTTAAGCTGGGAATCTTTTTCTTATTCTGTTTTTCTTGTCTTCATTTTCTCAGCATCTGTACCTAGCTACCTACCTTTTATCATCCTAATTTAGATGTTAAAAAAGATCTGTGTTATTTTATTAGTAAGACTATTCCGTTTCAATTGATGTCACTTGGTTTGGGTTTTTGCCAATCTAATCAGTATTTTGTTAATGTTACCTGTATCAGGATAGAGTAAGTTGATCAGTTCATCTCTGTGTACATAGAGATGCAACGAATATACTAATATAGCCTAGATATTAAATCTCTCATTTCTACAGTAGAGGTCATGTACCATGTAATGAGCCTAGGCTTGTTTGTTTCCCAAACATCACTGAACCTATTTTTCTAAGTAATTTGCTGTTTTTTTATTTGCACTCTTGTGTGTAATTATAGATGACAGCAATATGACAGATTGCCATCATTTGAAATCTCCTTCCCATTTTTTCCCAAATCTAAACACTTTATTAAGAAACTGTTCCATGTAGGATAACATACAGTACTTCCAAGGTTTTGTTTTTGTTGACTTTGGTGATCTTGTTTCTGCCACCTTCATCTCATCCACTGATCTATCTTAATATATCTTCATCTTTTTAGATTTAAAAATGTATTATTTCATCCTTAGGTTTTTCATCACTAATGCATAGGAGTTATCTTGCAAGAGATTTCAGCTGCATGTCTTTATGAAACTTGATGCCTTTACCAAAGGAGGGCCAACCCTTTCTTATTTTATAGAAGTTCCTGGTTGGCTTATTTCTTTGCCACAATTTACTAGTCTGTATCCTTTTTGTTTCTAGACTGCAGTTCCACTCCCATCAGCCTAACTCTTGCCAGTATTTCTGGAAACTGTGTATCAGCAGCTGTAGTGAGTAGATTGGTTAAAACTGTCTTCGTGATTTCATAGCGTAAGGAAATTTGACTTTCCAGATTACTTTTTGATTGTTAGAGAGACCTGGGTTACACTGTTCATTTTCCTTCCAAACCTTTGGTGATGAAGGGTGTTTAACCACATCTTATCTTAGGATGAGGACCCTCACTTTAGGATCTTTGTTGAGAAATTCTTGACTGATTTTCTGAAGGAGGCTGTGGTAGTATATTCTGTCCTTTGGAAGTATATGTGTATGGCATGCTTTTTATAGTTTTCATGTTATATTATGCTTTGCTTTTTCTATCTATTTAGTGCTGTAGCCTTAGAATTTACCTTTTAAAGGTTTTTTTCACATTCTGTTCTTAGCGTTGCTACTTCTTCAAATGTCTCTCATTTCTCCCCTCTCATGCTTTAATTTTCCTATTCCATCTTCTCATTGCTTTGTTTCATTCAAAGCTTTCAAAGCCAGGGTTTTGATACTTTCCCTTTGTGATTTCCTTTGAACTTTTCACACTTCTTTGTTTTTAGAAGATTGCTATTCTATATTATGGTGCTATTTATCAAAGTCGTTATCAGGCGCTGTTAAATTTCTCCACTAAGTCCTGTTCCAATTCAAGAAAGCACAGTATTTCTTAGAGAGGAGAGCATGAATCACAGATATGACTAGCATACAATGGCATCCTTTTCCCTCAAAGGTTTTGTAATAATTCTATCATATCATCCCAGAGAAAGATCAGAAAGCTCTAGTCTTATTATGGATCTGTTCTTTTTGTTCAAAACGGTACAATCTTAATATCCTGTCTTCTGGGTTTGTTTGAAGTGGAGGGCTGAAGAACTCCCTGTGCAGCCTTTGGTTTATTGTATTTGTTTCCAACTGTAGAATAGAATAGAAATTCTGCTATAAATATGTAAAAGGATCTTTTTTCTCATGGCCTTCTGGGAACCTTCTAATACTCACTGCTGCTTCTTTCATTATTTCCGATTTTTCTTTTTACCTTCAACATTTTTCTTTCTGAATCTTCTTTTTTAATGCATCTGCAAACTAAAAATATTTTTATTACTGGATCATGGCCATTTTGCCTCTTTTCTCCAAAGCATTCTTAATCCTATAAACCTTCACTTCAGTATTGCAAATTACATTTCAAAAATTACCAGTACTTCCTTTTGGCTGTGTCTGCTTATTTTTCTAGTCTGTTTTTCCTTCTTGCCTTTTCTCTGCGTGTTCCCTTTCCTAGCAGGCTGCCCACCCTTTTTTCATGCTAACAAGCTCTTTGCATCTCTAAGGTGGATTCTTCCAGTTTCTTTCACTGAAATCATTCAGATCAGTCTCCTAGTAAAATGGATTTTTCCATGTAAAACATCCTTTAAGTAATTAAGTACATCCTTTAAGTAAGTCCAAAGAGTCCTGTATCTCAGAAAAACTCCCTCCCACCCTCTGAATGGATCTACAAGGCTAAAGAAGAGAGTTTGATATGGTGACCACTGACTCAACTGACTAAATTCCAAACTTGTCTCTTACTAATCATGGCTTCCCGTTCAGTAGAGCTTAAGAGGCTGGGAACTGTAGGGTTGATGTGCTCAGGAGCTACTTTTGATAGAGGGGCTTTAAAATAGTGCAGTATGCACAGCACTGCTTTATGCAGTTTGTGCTCCAAAATCTGTAGTGCTGCCCTCCTGACTCTTACGTTTCAAGTCCTTGCATGAGGTTTTCCTTTCAACAGCTGTCATCAAACTATATTTAAGATAGCAAAGATGTGATCAGTGAATGTAATTTCATGTGGTTGTTAGCTTCTTACCTGAGGATATGGAGTTGTCTTCATTAGGAAAGAAGTGTTTGGAACATGAGAGACAGAATTGGTGTTGCAGAGGGATGATTTATGCTTAGTAATGTTGCTATGAAGAGCTAAGGACTAAAGTCTTTAAAAAGCCACCCTTGTATCATGATAAAGTTAAGCAGCAGAAATTTCACGTGCTATTTTTAAAGAAATAAATCTTATGGAAGGCTTTTTGTCTCTGTAACTGCGAAGGAATGGGAAGTAATCCTTTATGTCAAGAAAGGTGTTAATTTTAGGAAATGAAATAATGAAAAATAAGCTTCAACACTGATGTGGAATTGTGATATCTTCTGACCACAGAAAAATACGCTCGAACCTTTCGACTTGAATGAACTACTTCAAGAATTGCCAAGAAAACAAAAAGAAGTACTATGGGAGAAGCTGACACACCTATTGAAAGAGACCCTGGTGGAGAAACCTGTGGAAACATGGCAGATGACTGGAGATGATGAAAATAATGATTGCATGGATGTTGACATAGTTCCAGAAATGGTAACAATATTGTAAAACAGCAATATGATAGCTATTTCATATTCCCTTGGGAAATAAAATGGAATATTTTCATAGCATCTCGAAACATGGAAAGGTTATCAAAGTCACTTCCAGACATCTCCTTACCATGTTCATAACAGACCTTTTAATTACTGTGCATGGATTAAGCTGAAGTTATGATTGGACTACACTATAAGAGATTATATCTGCTGATGATTTTGATTATAAAAGATGGGTCATGGTTTGGTCAAAACTTGAGTGGTTGTTTTGTATGTTTTATTTCAGTAAACAAATGCTGATCTCCGATGTGCCTTAAATATCTGGCATATACTATAAAAAATCACTACCTGTTTTAGTATGTCAGTTTATTGAATTAAGACTGTGAAATCTAGCTTTCAGTGCTCCTCCCCCAGATTATATTTGGTTTATACAGAATTATCCTAACTCTGACCCTCATTTACTGCTTCTGCACTGCAGTTCATGAACTCTCTAGAATACTGTTGGGAAAGGTTTATTTAATTTTGGAAGGAAAAAAAGAAGTTCAGTGTGGAAATAATTTGGGAGACCTAGAGGCTTGTAGGAAATCTTCATTTGTGCAGAGACCTCACCTACAAGTAGACACATTTACCCTGGATTTAAAGGAATCAGGAAATCTTGCATTTACACAAGACCCTTTCTAGCTCTGGAATGGGTGTCTGTCTGAGTTGTTTTGTTGCAGATGAAGTTTTTTTTATGGAGGAGTGGATAAATAGATACAGTCAGAAAGTTACCGACTGGCTAGACCTGAAAGCTTTTCTAAAATTTTTTGTAAAGGATGTACTTTAAAAACTGTGCTTTGCCTCTTCTTGATAGACTTTAGGTGCCAGTATACTCTTTGTTCAAAATAGAAGCTTAATAGCAACTCGGCTTTGCTCTCTGTTGCTAAGGTTGATTTCTTGTCATAATTTTCTTCTGAATATAAATAAACCACAGAATTGTTTCCTCGACATTGCTTTCTTTCAGAAACAAACTGTAGCTGTGATCCAAGGAGTGACAGCTGTCGTTACTGCTTCCATACCCGTAGTGGATGAAACTGTAAACTACAAAGTTCTTTTAGAATGTGCTTTCATATTGAATGGTGCGTACTTGTCTGTTATACTGTACATCATTACACTGGCTTTTAGCAGATGGGTGTACTAGGCTTTTTGTTTGACCCGAGTGGTCTATGGAAAAGAAATTTCAAGGACAGAGCTGCTACTGATGTAAGTTCTAATTTATGAAACAAACTTAAGGGAGCATTAAAAATCAGTTACACAACCTAAAACTTGGAACTTAAATAGTTTTCCTTCCCCCCATCTGTTCAACCAACTTTACTTATTCTGTGGCTTATAGAATTTTGAAGGCAAAATGAGATTCTACTGCTACTGATCCAAAAACTCGGCCAAAACCTTAAAATTAACAAAGCTGCCTAAATACCCACAGTAAGAATAAGCTGTTAAGACGTGTAAATGTGACAACAGCTGGTATAGACTGAGAGATACACTTAGTGTACTAAGAGACTAGCATTTTACATGGATAATATCATTCATTGCAATAAATAATTACTTTATTCCTGTTGTAGGTATTCTTCCTGCATTACCTGAATCTGAAAAAAACCTACAGGGTGCCATCCAACATATGTGTGAAATGTGGTGGGAAAAAGGACTGGAAGGGAAGGAGCAGCTAGGGAAAACTGTATTTATTATGTTGCTAAGAAAAAGCCTGAATAAAGCTGCTACGGTATGTGAAGATATATTGAATTTTAAATTATTAGTGAATATTCTCAGGAAGAATCTCTCCACAATACACTTCTTTCAATTTATTTTCACTGTCTTAGTGCTTCCCAGTTAATGAAACCTATGATACCATATTTGTTACAAATTGTCTTTTTGGGCTTGCTTGCATAAACCACATTACTTTCCCTGGAATGAACTTTAAAGATTTTTTTGGCATCAGTTTTACAAGAGAACAGTTTGTTTTACAACCATTTTTTTTTCTTCACTCATTTATAAAGTCCAGTGACAAAGGTTTGAGTAGCAATTGGCTGTTTTTTAATTCAGGTTTTAAGTAGTATGCTCAGTGACTCATAAGAGACTTCTTAAGTGGAAAGCGTCCTTTTCTGTTCCTCTTTATTTGTCTACAAATATTATTTCTAGCTTATTTCTCAATTGATGGACTGATTTTTTTTTTCATGTCTTTTGCACTAACCCAATAAGTATCTCCCTTACTTGTTCCTTCCCTTTGTTTTTCCCTGTTAACTGCTTTCATTGTTTAAAGATTTAGAAGTAGAATGATGCAGTTTGCATCTGTTTTGCATGAAATACCAGCTTTCTGTACTTGAGCATGTCTTCCATTGCTGGAAGTCAGTATTTCTGCAGTTACACATTTTTGAAATCTTTTCCCAATTATAGTGGTGAAAATCAATTAATGTTCATAATTTTGCAGTCTGAAAACCTTCTATCTGTAACAGTGAATTTCAAATTCATCATTTTAAATTCTTTAAATAATTCTTCACATTAAAGGTATACCACTATAACATGTTTTTTTTTTTTTTCCTCTGTCAGGGTGCAGATGTAGTTCGTCTCTGGAATCTACATCAGACGCTATTGTACTTTGATTATGATTCAGAGGACAGTAATGAAGTCAAGGACTTGTTACTTGAGTGCTTTATGAGTGTAAGACACATTAAAAAAGAAGAGGTAAGCAAATTTTTTGTTCTTTGCTTTTCTTCTGTCAGTGGGCTTTTATTACTCTTAACAGTTTTGCATTAAGCCTTTTGACTGATAAGTTCTGACATACAGTCAACGATGCTGGGGCTGTTATCAGACTTCTTGCTATTTTTTCTGTCTCCGAATAGGAATGCTTTTGATTATTGAAAATCAAATGTTTTTGATTTTGGAGTGGTTTATTTTGTTTTTCAAAAGTTTAATGCAGGAGGGAGGTGAAATATCATTTGCTCTTCCTAATTTTTCTTCTGACTTGTCCTAAGTAAGTAATGTTGCTAAGCATTAATTACAGATTTACTGAGTTTGAGGTTGGACAGCACCCCGGAGATCATCTTGTGTAACACCCCTGCTCAAGGCAGTCAGCTCAAGATGGTTGCTTAGGGTCGTATCCAGTTGCATTTCTGAACATCTTCAAGGATGGAGACCTTATAGTCTCTCTGGCAACTTGTTACAGTATTAACAAAAACCTATTTAAAATAATTTCCTGTATTTCATCTTGTGCCTTTTGCATCTTATCCTGTCACTGAATACCACTAAGAACACATTCAATCTGGTGTGCTAGCTGGTTGTTTTACCACAGTGCTTTGTGGTTTTGAATCACCTGCAAAATTGCTGAGCATGTACTTTTATGTCACTAATGAATATGTTAAACAGTGTTATTCCAGTATTGTAGAGCAGTTTGGGTTGGAAGTGGTCTTACAGATGATCTAATTTCACACCCCTGCCATAGGCAGGGATGCTACCCACTAGATCAGGTTGCTGAAAGCCCCATCCAGCCTGACCTTGAACACCTCCAGGGATGGGGCAGCCACAGCTTCTCTGGGCAACCTGTGCCTCACCACCCTCTGAGTGAAGAATTTTGTCCTTATATGTAATCTAAACCTTTGTCAACTCTTTGTCAACCGCACCACACAGCTTGGTGTCATCAGCAAACTTGCTGAGGGTGCACTCACTCCCCCTGTCCCTGTCACCAACAAAGATGTTAAGCAGCGCCAGTCCCAGTACTGACCCTTGAGGAACACCACTGTTACTGATCTCCACCTGGACACTGAGCCATTGACTGCAACTCTTTGAGTGTGACCATCCATCCAGTTGATGCTCTGGGGTACACTACTTGTGTCTATTTGCCCAGAGGACTTCATGTTCTGACCTAAAGTTCAAACATGTGCAGAGTAATGCATGTGTCATCTTCTGAAAATGCTACTGCAGGACAGGATTTTCTGTTTTTTTTTTTTTTTTTTTTTTTTCTGTCCTCATCTTCCATTTGGAAAATGTCTAACCAGCCTTAGTGCTGTGGTTAAGTGTTGCTACATTCAGGGAAGCTTTTTTATTTTTTTAATCATCCCAGGAGCCTTTTCTGGTCAGTGCAGTATTTTGCCATCACTTATTTCACCTTTGCAATTTCTTCAGTGATCAGTCTAATGGGAGTCTTACTTTGGTAGAAAACTAATTCTTATTCCTCTATATACCTGGCAGGTCACTTTCCATGCTTGAGGAACCTACTTTCTAGTCCACAATACAAGGGGAAGCAAAACCCATCCTGGAAGACTCTGAGATAGAGTTCAGTTAAATTGTGTCTGCAACCAATTTAGGCATCTATGTGGGAGCCAAATCACTTCAAGTCCTGGGAAGGATTTAATTGTTTAAGCATAAGTAAACAACCAATGCTACATTAAATGACCTAAGTTCTTTCAGACATCCATGTGGGGCTGTCATGTAAAACATCTGTCATAGATCTCTGCTTTCTGGAAAACCACCTGAATGTTTAAAATTGTTTTGTATTTAGGCAGTACCAAACTGCCCCAGTCAATGGAGTCAACAGAACATTTCATCTTCGTAAAGCAGTTACTTGACAACTGATCACCTGAATCGCTCTTCAGGCAATTAATATTCTGGAGACTTAAACATCCAAATTTAGATGTCTCAGTTTGTCAGCTGCAGCTCAATTACGATATGTGAACTGCCTATATAGTTTTAGAACAGTGACTGGGATTTCTGTAGCTCTGCAGACAGAAGATTTAGTGTCTTGAAATTCACAGTACAAAAACCATTTTAATGTTGCTGTGAAACTACTGTGCTTCAGTTGCAAATCCTTCTGTTTGGGGATTTTGCATCCTGAGTACGGTTTTAGTGCCACCCCAGCTCATGCATATTCACTAGTCGTCCTGTCTGGTCACTTTGCTAATGATAGGTTTCTTGTAGCAACACGTCTAACACACCCTAAGCATCTCTGCCGTACCTTTTTCTTAACTTCTGTGTCTAAAATGCTAATAGTCGTAGCTAATATCAGCATGATGTCTGAATTGCCTATCAGGGCTCATGTTCCCTTAAAGATTTATCACTTGCAGGCTTGTTCTACAGTTCATAACAAAAGTATTCCTCGTTCTTTTTGGAGTGTGCATCTATGGGTATAACTCCATCGCAGCTTAATGAGATGTAATTCCAGTTGCAATGATCCCGTGTTACTATGGGCTAGCATTCCTATTTTCCTCTCTGCAGCATGAATGCTCATGCAGCTATGTGATGAGTTCATTCAAAGAGGTAGCTGATCAGTTTTCTTCCTAGGAAGATTGTCAGCTAGATAAATTGCTTTGAGTGGTTTATCGTATGCAAAGATGAAGAGAATGGGAGGGCCAGGAATATGGTATCCTGACTTTTAGACCAGACTAGACTGATACAGAATTGCACTTTTATGCTTCATTGCAAGATCAGGGAGTTTAGTTTTTCTGCCTTCCATGACCGTGCTTTTCACCACGAAGTAATATTTCTCGCAGGCTTATTTTAAGACTGCATTACTGGAGTGAGCCTCTGAATTTATCTCTGTGCAATTTATGAAGCCGTTCTTGTTCAGGTGAGATTTCCAATCAACTGGAGAGCCCTGCATAGCATCTATTACTTTGTTTTAAAGGTAGGCCTGTTCTCTTGTCTTCATTGCTAGCCACGTGTGTGTAAATGCAAGTGCCAAAGTCACAAAGTATATTATGGCTGCAAGCACAGCAGTATGAGTTGCTCTGCACCATGTTGATGGGCTAACCCCAAAGATGGCAAGTTCACAGTCTTATCGCCTACCACTGGTTTACCTCTCAGGATACCGAGGATGCTGATGGCGCTAATCAATTCAGATCCGTTGATCACAAGTGGCAGGTTTGATTAGAGTCATTCGCTATTGTTCTCATGATCAGGGTCAATCTGTTGAGATCAAAGGAAAAAGGAATTGGACAGAGTTGAATACAAATTTCTATTGGATGCTTTCCTTGCTTCAGGAGGTTCAAAGGTGCCTTTTCTTTATCTTTTGAGAAGAGTTTGAATATGGCCTAACCTTTGCCTTGTTGAGGTAGGAGCTGTAGGTCACGACTCCCTTGACTTTTCAGTTTGACAAGGATATTGATGGGAGAGTGTACCACTGGGACTCCAGTATATGTGTTAGACCACCAAAGCTGGAGATGAGTGGCTCTTTTTATTTTTATCTGGTGTTTTTCATTCTTGGTAGCATCTCGTTTGACAACAGAAAGGATTCTATCAGACTTGTCAACAAGAATCATGACACTGTATTTAGCTTTTTAGGTCTTGATTTTAATGATCGTCTGTATTTACTTCTTGACTTGCAGGCATTTAACTCATCATTTCCACTAAAGCAGTTTCTGCCTATATACTTCCTTCCCTCTGTCTTTAATCTATAATGTTGTAGGTGCCTGGCATCATTAGCCTTGTTCAAGCCTCTGTTTTTTCATTGGTCTCGACATAACTGTTAGTTATGCTCTGAGTGGAAGAGTCTTTGAGCTTTGTTACTTCATCTTATGAGTGTTCCTGCTTTATTTTGTCTAGAAAAGTACAAAGGACCTTTGCAATTGTCTGACTTGCTCTTATGTATGATCAGACTTCTCAGAGTCTCAGAAGCTGGGTACTTTCACTCCAGGATGGCACAGAGCTAGGCTGCCTGTACAGATATACTATGAGGTTCTAGCTCCATTGGCAGCTCTTGCTGAGTCCAGAAGAGCAAGATTTTATTTCCTATCTCCACAGCCTTCCACTCCCTTTTCTTGCAAAATGTTTTCTTATTTAGTAAAGTTGTTGTTACTACTTCTAATTTGCTAAAAGGAAAGAAAACCTAATTCAGAAAAAAAAAATTATTCTGCTTTTACGAATTAAGGCATCTCCGGGAGGCTGGCAATATTACCTTCAATGAGACAATATGAAAGGAATTGTCCTCGCTAATCACAGCATTTATTTTCCTCAGTGGCCCAGCTGTTCTGTGCTTTTGTTCAAAATTATTTCTGCATCTAATGCTGGAAGAGTTGTGTTATTTTAGCTGTAGCTTCACCAGCAGTACAGTGTCATCCCAAAATGATGCTGCACTTGACAGAGCTCTGATGACCCTTGATGTGAGGGTCCTGAGCTGCACAGTCCCTTATCATTATAGAATACTAGCTGAAGTCAGTCCAGAACAGATTGGACACTGGAAAAGAAGACAGGCAGATACACAATCCAGCAGAGTAACAGCAATACTTGAACTAGGTTTAAAAATTAAGAATCTATATTTACTGCTGAAGTGGCTCTTAAACTGGGTGTTCCTCTAGGGTCTGAATTCCATTTTGTATTGCTTTGTTTACTTTTTTGTTTTTACTCCCTCTCCCTCTACCAACAGGGAAGAAGATTCTTGAGCTTTTTGTTCAGCTGGAATGTCAACTTCATTAAAATGATACATGGAACTGTTAAAAACCAATTACAGTTTTTTCCAAGGTATGCATCACAGCTACAGTTCTTAATGATCTTTAGAAGCTTGGCTAAAATTTTTTTTGTCTCAAGCTAAAAAACCTAGTATGTTGATTAAAAAATATATCAGCATCCAGAGACCTTCAAATCTGCTGAATATAAGTACTGTATTGTTTCAACAATTTCATTTAATTGTCGCTTTGTACATGCCTGTATATACAATTATAGGTGTAGTAAAGTGCTTTTTTAGCAATAGCTAAAGCAAATGATTTTTACTTAAAATGCACTGCATTACTTGCAAAGTTGGTGTTAGAGAACTGCAGGTCTGTTCCTGCTTCTGCAAGATGTTGTTATTTTTCCTGTTAACAACCTCTGATTTAGTATGGTAAGATTCTAACGAGAGATGGTCTAAATAAGAAATAACTTGTAGGATCATAGCCTGAGAACTTGATTGATGGGTGAAAAGCATGGATTTTTTTCCTTTGATTATTCAGAGAAATGTTACATAGGTTATTCTTTGAATTAAAATCAGAGGTTTTCTAATGCTTTCAGTTAAAATAATTTGTGTATGCATTTGTAAACAAGTTAAGGCATTCATTAAGAGATTAAATTATCTGTGCTGAATTTTGACTTTCCTACTGTAAGCAATTTTTTTATGAGTGTTTGAGTTCATTAATTGACAATTAACTTTGTTTTTCTGTAATTATCAGTGTAGACTTTCAAGATATTTACTTCCTCTAAAAGTAATGTTGATTCACAGAATTAAGAATAGTAATGGTACTAAGCAAAAACTTTGTTATTACTTTTATGAGGTGTACGTAGGATGCTTGTTTGACAGTGTTTCCCATATGTTAATGCAGGTCCTTAATGGAATACATTTCAGAAGTTTACTTCAGAGCATGGAAGAAGGTGTCAGGAGAAGCTTTAAAGGTATTACTGTGCTTGAAATTTTGTTTGGATAACTCTATTTTAACATGGGGAAATTATATGAATTTTCAACCTAGGAAAGGTTCCTAAGCAAGCCTTGAGGAGTACTTTCCATAAGGAAATGGCCTCTTCTACATTGCCAAGGAATAAGCAAGTCATGCTATGAATGTTTGGCCACTGTGATTGGCTTGGTTGTACTTAAGCTTCTTTAATTCTGCTGCTGAAATGTTGTTTTATACAACTATGCACGTTAATGTATTTTTTTTTGTAAATGTAGGAGTTACATGAGTTACTGAAGCATTTACTCAGTGTGTGCTGGGCTACATATTTGATATCTTAAATATTTACCAAGTTTTTGTAGATTTCCATGGGAATGATCAAAAGTGTAATTACAGCATCACAGCAAAGCCCCAGTCAAATTTCCACTCCACTGCTTATTACTGTTTTCTTGTGTGTTAACAGTAGCATGTATGTGTTTTTACTGTAGATACTTGAACATAATTGTATTCAGGATTTCATGCATCATGGAATTCATCTTCCCAGGAGCTCTTCTGTTCATTCTAAAGTTAGAGAGGTAAGATCCTGTAAAGCATGACATGATCTAGTAGCATCAAACTCAGATCATAAGCATAAAGCAGAAATTTTCCATTTCCTACTGAAATACTGTACCGGATCTGTCTGGGAGAACAGCCACATATGCACAGCCACATATGATGCTGTGGTTTGGTTGTTCTAAAACAGTGAACACACACCCAAGTTTTAGCTGTTGCTGAGCAGTGCTTGCATGCTGTCCAGGCTGTCTTTTTTCCCAACTCTGTCTCCCTAGCAAGTAGGCTGAGGGTGAGCAAGAAGTTGGAAGGGGACACAGCTGACCCAAATTGACCAGAGGTCTATTACATTCCCTGTAGTGCCGTGCTCAGCAATAAGAACTGAGGGAAGGGGGATTTTGAGGAGGTAGTAGCCATTGCTTGGAGACTGGCAGGGCATTGGTCTGGTAGTGGAAAGTGAGTGATCGCATTGGCATCACTTTTTTTCTTTTCTGAATCCCTCTTTCATTCACTTATTAAACTGTCTTTATCTCGACCCACAAGTGTTCTTACTTTTGTTCTTTTCCTCATTGCACCAGGAGGGGAGTGAGTGGGCAGTTGTGTAGTGCTTAGCTGGAGACTGGGTCAACCCACAGTACTTACCTGAAAAGTAGTATCTGTCTTTCAGAATATTATTAGAACAAATTTTAAGAGGAATTTGCTTATAGTTTGGCAACAGATTTCCCTGTGAAAGTTGAATAAGTAGCTTTTAAAGACAAGGCACTCATATCTGATCTATACCTTCTCGCTTCCTGTGCTTTCCCCCAAATATGTAGAAGCTAGAGTGTACAGTATGTGCAGTAAACAGCTTGATATACCAGTATATTTATCCTATCTCATATCTAGTGGGTTCCCTTGTCCTCTGACCCAATGTATTTCAGGTAAATATAGCAAGCTAGCATAAGCATCCGATGTTTTATCATTACAAGACATGTTCAGCTGTTAAGGCACAGAAGTGTAGGCGTTAACTAACGTATCTGTTACCAACTATTGGTAGCATTGTATCAAGAAAACATACAAGTCTGTGTGCCACAGTTTTTTTCCCCTACTGTTGGTTAGCATTATGCTAGTGATGTTGTGTAAAAAGGCAAAAAGGGACTAAGTATGTGGTCCAGCAAGCGTAACCAGTTTTGGTTGCCCCCAGGGAAATGAAATGCCTAATAATTTGAGAGCAAAAACTGTTTTAAACAGTTTTACAGACTCTGTAAGGTCTTTCATTCACAGTAAGCTGTGACTATCCCTTCCATGAATTTGACTTGTTGATGCTCTTGTTTCAAAATTATTTACAGAACGTGCTTTTTTTTTTTTTTTTAAACTTCATGTTTTTATTATTAGCCAGTACTTGGAATACAGTGCTCAGAATTACTGTATTTGTTTTTTGCTTTTGATCTAAACTAAAACATTACAGAAACAACAGACTATTTTATATATATGTAACTATATATATAAATAACAGAGATTATTACTTAAAAATATATATAACAACAGAGAATGAGTGCCCATTCAGCAACTTCATAGTCTGTTGGTGAGTAGGAGCTCAGTGAGTATTTTTCAGGAACTTAAGCCAGAATGCTTACTTTTATCTAAGGTTATCAACGTTCAGTGGTAACGCCAAATCCACATACGAGCAGGGGGAAGTCCTGTTTCCCTACCGTGTTTAGTCATGGCTACACAGCTCTGCCCAGAATTGCTTCTTTTGCAATGTTGATGCAGTGAAAATAGTTTTTCATTTTCTAGTATAAGTTCCAGATTTTTCCAAGAATATGAAAATAAAGTCATGTCAAAAGCTATATTGGGAATGTATGGTATTAAACAAACAGGTTTTACAAAGTTCAAGGTTAGAATTTTGATGGAGTAGGATTTTGACAGGGTGTTTCATTTTATTGAGAATCAGAGAAGCATATGATCTGGAAAGAGGACGGTGATGTAAATAAATGCCTTGAATTGTAGGGGTGGTCACGAGTCTTGGAATAAATTTGTAATGATGCCCATTCTTTTTCAGTATGCAAGAATTTAATTTAAAATGATCCCGTTAGAGTACAGTAGTTCCTGTAACAAATAATAGCACCAACAAAATACAGTTATTCGCTTGAACAATGTTTAGGCTACGTTATTGAAAGAACAGTAGATTTACAAAAAAAACAAAAAGGGGGGGGCAACAGGTCCAACCCTCCATCATGAATTTAAATTTCTGATTATAAAAAGTCTGTCAAATACCTGACGTTCGCTGTTCTCCTAATGAAATCTATTGCAATACAGTAGTGATTTGCCATTAATTCTGGCATGATTAGATTAGTCTTTCTTGAATACAAATTATAGTCACGTAGCCTCTTGTAAATAACATCATGTCTTTACTTAAATTCATCTGAAAGTCAGGAAAAAGTATTCTTCCACTATAGCATTGTTTCTGTAAAACTGATTCACAGACTTCTCAGTCTAGCTGTAGTTGGGATTACCTGAATTAGTCAGGCTTGACACTGAAAGGGCCTTCTTTTCAAAACGCCCAGTGTATGCATATCATACAAACATACCAAACTACATGATGTCCTTTTTCCCTGGTCTTCTACTTTACTTCTTTGCCTGCATAGTTTAGGTATAGTAGCGGTTTAGGTAACTAAGCACTGTGGTACTTCTTGATTTTCATCAGTGCCTATATGTTTATTACATCTGTAGATTTTTATTTGGATAATTCTATTTAACAAATAGCATTTCTTAACATAGAAATGGGTTTGTTTATTTGCAGTTGATAATTACATTGTTGCAACGTATTTCTGCCAGTTAGTTTAAACAAATTACAAGTTTTTTACTTTAATAAAAAAAAAAGGTTGCAGCAAAGTTGACTCTGTAGCCATGCTTGCCATTCTTATGTGTAGATCTCTATACAGGCTTATTGAATCAATAAATAATGGTGTTTACTAGATTTATTTTTTTTATGATTTTTGTGACTAATAAAATATAGGGTCAGTTGATGTGTCTAGTTATATCATGTCCCTTACTTAGTATGGAAAATTCATTGGTCTTAAGTAAACGATGAGGTAACTCCTCACCACTGCACACTCCCTTTCTTAAATGTATATAGCAGTGCACAAAATATTTGTGGTCTTTTTGTTTTTGTCAGATGCTGAGTTACTTTCATAAACAAAGTAAAGTTCGCCAAGGAGTTGAAGAAATGCTCTATCGATTGTACCAACCTATCCTTTGGAGAGCACTGAGGGTAATTATCCTTTTCAGAATATAAGGCTACCTTTCTCCAGCTATCAAGTTTTGGATCCCTCCCATGTGTCTGTTTTTAATATTATACGTGTGTGTGTATATATTTTATATATATATGTATATAAAACATATATTAATGTTATATGTGTATATATATATATATATATATACACATACATAATTTTCATACTACTAATGGTTCCATCACTAGAACAAAGGCTTTTTAGTTTGTTTGTCTTTTTTTGTTGTTATTTTTTTCCCTGTTGTGTTTTACATTGACAGCTTCTATGTAAGGAATAAAGAACTTTTAACTGAGAAGTTAACAGACGTATCAAGTAGGTCATAGAGAATTTGCTTTAATATGGCAAAATAGTCCAACTATTGTGAACATAGACTTCAAAAAGGTACAGGGAGGATCTTCAAAAATTGAATACAGCAATTATATGAATCATGTAATGATTCAGTACAAGGAAAGATTCTGCATTCCAGATGATTCAATACCGTACTTGTGATAGGTGAAAGGAAATATTATGTGACTGAACATCAAAATTTGGGTGTTGATTTTTGGTTAGGCCTCTGTCTTGCTTTTGTATAGCTAATATTTCTCATAGTGCTGCCGAAGTATTTACCATTTTTAGAGAACCATTGCTGTGACTCAGAAACACCAGTGCTTTAAGATACAGAACTTAGACTGGAAGCTTATAGTTGTTCCTAGTAGTGTGGATTCCTCTCCCAAGCTTGAAATGTCAGTTTAATTTTAGATAACCAGTTTGATGCTCCTATTTTAGCCAGTGTATAAACCCCTAATTTAATATAGTGAGGAACAAATCTTGTTCTGGAACACTGGTTATATAAAAGAAAGAACTCATAAAGGGGCCTCTTTACCACTCCTTCTTGCAAAAAGAACTTCAGTTGTAACAATAAGTGTTCTAGAGCTGTTCATTTTGAAACTACTTGTATTCCTCTCTAAGCCTTTAAACTGAGAATGGATGTTTGTTATACATATTTGTTTTTCCTAATTGTTTGTTTTGCAGATACTTAGGACAAGCTTACTTTGTGGCTTTTATTTACACGCATTTATAGCCTTTATGCAACCTTAATATACCTTTTTGTAATATAAACCCTTATGTAACTTCTTCATTTGTATTCACATGTTTATTATGAAAAGTAATCCTTACGTGCAAAGATAGCAGAAACAGTTGTGCAGTGGTTGGTTGTTCTTTAACTAGAAAGTGTATGTTTATTGTGAGATAAGTAGTGATTAAGCTATTTTGTAACAAACTCAAAAAATCAAGAACTGTTCCTCCAGGAAGTCAAGCTGTTCAAGAAAGTGATTTCTTTAAAGGGGTGTTTTTAATTTTTTTTTTATCATCATACACTTTAAAACTAACTGACTGGTGAAAAATACTGTTTTAAATAATGGGAAGTGAATTTCAGGAGTTGTAAGATCAGATGAAACTCACAAGAAAGCTCTGAAAACAAACTGAACAAAAAATGAAAATGCTGCTTAAAAAGATTCTGTCAGTTCTTCAAAGTAGTACGGGCATAGACGTAAAGATTAAAAAAAAAAAAATCACTTGAATAACTGAAGGCTCCTCTTAAGTTGAAGAGTCACTGTGACATAAAATAGTCCTAGGTTCTACACAGGATCTACACTATTAAATTGAAGGCATTTTTTCTATTAGGAACTTGAATATGCAAGGACATTAGGGATAAATTCCAATTAATTGAAGGAAGGAATTTAAAATGTGGATACCCAGTTCAGAATTAAAATGAGCTTAATGGAATTCAGTGTGATGTAGTTTATCAAAACTTACTTTTTGGAATGGTCATGGTAGACAGTATCTAGCTTGTTTTTTTGTTTTTTTTTTTTTAAAAAAAAAAGGAGGGTTTAAGTTCAGTTTCATATGAAATATTAGGGTAAAGAACTATTTCACCCTTAATTCACATACTAACTTGTTCCTCACTAGAAATCCTCAATACAGACAAGCTTGTAGTTGAAAGATTTTCTGCATCTTTATAGGACTTTATTAAGATTTATCATCTTTCCACTTTTAGCCTGTTTATATTATCCATGATAAAATCAAGTAAAGCACAAATCCTTAACTAAATAATGTATAGATGGACTTTACTTGGACAGTATTAAATTTAGAATTGCTCTTAATTTTGTTGGCCTTTTAAAACTTTGTTGGCTTTTTTCTTTTTTTTCTACCTGGAGATGAGACAACTCCCTCTGCACCCCCAATGAGGATCAATTCAGAAGAGAAATAGAAAATAATTTATAAATAAAGTAATTGTGATTTCCTGGTTTTACTTGGCATTAACTTCTTTAGTTCTAAATATTACATGGTTATACTTTTTTTTTTCTCATCCCTGCCTTTTGTCTGAATATTCTTATGACAAGGGAGGAAGAAAATTGAATAATTATAGCAGGACGTTCCCTGAACTATCTAGTATCTTGTTCCAAAGATTAAGCCTACTTTGCTTGTTTCATAAGATTCTATGTATGCTTTTTTTTTTTTTTAATTGGACCCAAAATCTGAACAGAATTTTTCCTTCTCTCTTGCTTCTAAGAGAAGTGAGCACAGGCTTTTATCAAAGACTACTGTCTTTGATAAATAAAATATTCTCTTGTAGTTATATTTCAGGTTTCTTCCTGAGATGCACTGAGTTTCATCTTTTTCTTCATTTCCTTGACTGCTTGGTGTTTACTACTCTTTATGAGCCCACAGGGCCAATTATTTTTCACCAGTTGTCTAAATATACAGTTATTTCATTTTTCTTTACATTTGGGGCTCTACAGCCAGCAAAACATGTAGTGTAACACCCTGAAAATGGTTACAAATGGTAAAATGTCTGAGAGTTATGAGGCTTGCTTTAGAATTTTGATGAGCTGACTGCAACTCAAAAAACACAGTCCTACTACTTACGTGCATAGATGCAGAACTGAATATATTTACATTGGATAAGTTATCATCTAGGCTTGTTGGTACTTAGTTTCTGAATGCTGTTTTCTTGAAGAAATAGGCTTGAGCTTTTCAATTAAATTACCTTGCTCTGTGTAAACTTAATAGTTAAAGCTTTGCTTGAATTGCAGATTCCTGTATTCCAAAGAGCAGCTTTAAGTATGCCCAAGTATGTGTGTCAGGTGACCAAGAGAAATCCTAACTGCTTTTAATTTATTCAGCATTACAGAAAGCAGAAGGGCTCATGACTCTTCAGGATCATTAAAGTTGATAATGTTTTGAGAGCTTATTGTACTACTAGCTTGGGATTTACTGAATGGGTAGAAATGTAAAGTGCAAAAAAATCATGTTACTATAACTTCTTCCATATATATAAAAGCTAATCTCTTCCGCCTACTTCATTAGAAATACGTGATTGCCAGAAGTGTTTAGAGAGCCATATTTCCTAGGGTATGCTTTTTAATACTAATAATTTGGTAATACTGTACTTACCAAAAATATACTTTTTCCTTCATTCTAACAGGCTAGAAACTCAGAAGTTCGATCAAATGCAGCATTTTTGTTTATTGATGCTTTTCCTATTCGTGATCCTAGTTTTAATGTTGAAGAGATGGACAACGAAATACAGAAACAATTTGAAGAACTTTTTGTAAGTTTTAATTAAGCTGAAATGCTGAAAACTAACTAAAATTAAGCATTGATAAAATTAAAATGTATGGAATTTTAGGATAGTATTCACAGGGAAATACTGAGATGCAGAAAATACAAAATTAGGCTAATATTTTAATTTTCTGTAATATGTTGACAACAGACAACGTTGTACCATTTTTGACTCTGAAAAGGAAATATTTGGCATTGTTACTCATTAACCTGTGAATGAAGAATGCTCTTGAAAGACTAGATGCATGAGTAATGATGGTGATCCTTACTTAACCTAGGATTGGTGGAGAGTGCTTTACATTTATTTAATAAGGATTCAATAGAAGTTTAGTACTGTATTAATAAATATTTCTGAAAAGAAGTAAAGAAAAATAATCTGTCATATAGCAGCGGATTTGCAATAATGCATGTACTCACATTTTTCTTTTGGTTGTTACAGAATCTCTTAGAAGATCCTTATCCAGTTGTCCGTTCTACAGGGATACTTGGAGTTAGTCAGATAACATCCAAATACTGGGAGATGATTCCTCCACCAATTGTTGCTGATCTTTTAAAAAAAATAATTATAGAGCTGGCATGTGATGTAACATCTGCTGATGTTCGATGCTCTGTTTTTAAAGTAAGTCTTTTTTCTAGATGTAAAATCATGATTGTCGTTTCTACATTTCACCTGGAGCAAAGGTTTCTAGGATAGGCCACTTTTAGTCAAGGATGCTGCTTATTCAGCAAAATGACAGATGCAATAAAGTTCCTAGTACAAGCAAATTCTGCGCACGTTTTATAAGTCACATAAGACCAAACAAAATGTTTTCTAGAATGGTGACTGGCTTTATGAATCCCAATCACTTTGCATTTCTAGTCTGATATTCTTTGTATGTTGTTTGGACCTGGTAACTTCATCGTTTTAGCTATTAGAAGTTATGCTTAGTATGCAGGTCAGTTCTGGTACATTTCTGCGTCACTAGTTTTAACATATCCCTAGAGAAACTCCCAAAGTTGTATTTCCACTTAAAATTTTGTGCATGTGTCAATTAATTGTTAATTTGGAGCTATCTTTGTGTTAATCCACACTTACTCCACTACAGCGGAGCTTTATACTGAATAAACAGAAAGTGCTGAGTCAAAAGGAGCTCAGCAAATAAAGACTAATTATTAATCTGAAATCAGCAGAGTTTAGGGAGCTATTATTGCTGCCACAGAAAGTATTTGACATTGTGTCCTTAGAAGGCAAGACTATGGCCTCAGCATAGATCTGAAGCTGCTTCACTTGAAATGAGCTCACAGAACATGGTTCGCTGGAAATTTGATGTACCTTTTGTTAAAGAATACAACAGGAAAAATATGCATGCACAGGATGCCCCTGCATAATTTAACCTTAGAAGTGTCATGGTCCAGTTCAGCAATTTTTAGCTACATCTTTTTTGTAAATCTACTCTTTAAAATTTGTATTTAGCATAATGATTTTTTCTTGCAGTGCCTACCGATAACTTTGGACAACAAACTAAGTCACCCATTACTGGAGCAGCTCTTGCCAGCACTTAAACTCAGCCTTCATGACAATTCAGAGAAAGTGCGAGTGGCCTTTGTTGATATGCTGCTGAAAATCAAAGCTACTAAGGCAGCTAAGGTAGGATAAGTGTTGCTTCATAGGTAGCAGACAGGAAATAAAATCAAAGTATTTATTTTAATAATAACTGTACCTTTGAGACTACTGCAGTCATCATTGAAAGAAAAAAATACATATTTAATGTAGTAACACTCTTAATTTCAGGTTTTCCCTTCCTTATATCATTAAGCATGTAACTGATAGTTTATTTCTAAGACTTGTGGATTCTGTTGCTATTAATCTGTCTTAAAGCATCCATTTTAAAGATTGCGATCCAAATGTAAGTGGTAGTATGGAAGTACTTCTTATTAATGATTTTGTGAATTCTACTGAAATTATGGTGTTCATGAAGAATCCTTTAAAAATGATATATCGATTTTTTTATTTTTTATTTTTTATTTTTTTACTTTTTTTTTTAATTGAGGCTGCTCCTGATGAACTTGCAAGCTCTCTACAGTTGTTCCTCTAGGATGAGATAACCATAGGTGATAATGCTGTGTCTGGATATCGCTGTGGCAAAGATTTTGTAGACATAGTGGAAAAGTTGGCTTCTTGATTGAGCCAAATAAACTCTTGTTCTCTTCTCTCCCACATTTTTTCGCTTGTTCTGGATTATTATTATTTGGAGTAGGTCCAGCAGACTTCTCTGTGCTTACTACTTTTTACTCAGTGGTGGTATCGCAACAATTCCACAATATTGTTTTCTCAGGGAGTTTGTCTTCCCTGCCCTCTTGTGGCCGTGCCATGGTAGGACAGTCAGAACAGCCACAGCTGCTTAGCTCAAGGCAGGACTCTTTCACCTAAAATGCTTGATGCCTTTACTGAATTGCTTTCTTACTTTTTATTTACCTATTTTTATAATTTTTATTTGCCTTTTGTGGGTGGGCACATCCTCCAGCATTTTGTTTCCTTTCATAGAGATTTTAAACAGCTGTGTTCTGCCGTGGACTCTTATTATATAGGGCAATAATCTCTGCTGTTAATCACACAGAATCACAGAATTTCTAGGTTGGAAGAGACCTCAAGATCATTGAAATGGTTTACTAGCGTCAATTTTATATTTTATTTTAATTATGGTTTTGTCTCTCGTTGAGCCTAGTTATTAGGAAGTGCCTCTCTTGTTCTATGCAAATGCATGCTGTAGTCATGTGTATGAATCTCTGTTGTTCGTGACAGAATTAACCTTTGAATAAATGCTCCGTCTGTCAGAATTTTAAGGCTTCAATACTCCAGAAACACATCCCCCCAGAACATGAGAATTACCTACTTGCCACATGTGTGCATTCCAGCTTTGATCACAAGACCTCAGAGACATTATATTAAGACGAGACCACCTCAGTACCTTCCAAATTTCCCCAAATAGGCCCAAAACACAGGATAAAGGGGAGGCCATTTCAGAATAGAGGGTTTTCAGCTTTTTGTTTGCTGGCTTTGGTTTACAATAAGGATGTAAATGCACAGTGGCAGATAGTGAATTTTAAGTCTGCAGACTTTGCTTTTATAATGTCAGCTTGCTGATCCAAGTAGGATTTAAAGGACTGACATCTACAGTCACAATTTGATCCATTAGTATCAGTTATCAGATCATAAGATCAGATTCTATTTTTATAGTAAAATAGTATTTTTTTAACCTGTATAGTAAAATATGAACAAGCTTAATTTTAAGTTATATTCAATCTCAAAGATGCGCTAAATAAAATTTTTATGTTGTTGATTTGTGTATAGTCTTTTCAAAACACAGAAAGGAAGTCTTGTGCTTCTGTTAAATGTATAAGAAATTCTTGTTTAAAAGTTATTTCTCATTCAGTGTGAAAGTTCAAGCAAACAATTTTTTTGGCTTTCCTGAATTATTATGAATATACCATAAAACACAGAGGAAAAATATAATTTGCAACTGCAGGTGTAAAAGTATTAGGGACTTTTTCTTAGTTGTTATTTGTTCTTCAGGCATATTGGAAAACTTCCATCCACTCTGCTTTGTTTTTACATAGTAAAAGACTTGTGTCTTCTAAAAAAGAAAAAGGGATCAGGTTTATGTATTAAAAAAATTACAGTAAATGTTTGTTTTGTCACTAACTTGCTATTTATTTAAAACCTGTAATGTACATCTCTCTGAAGTCCTGAGATTACTTCAGTGTGTATTCCAAGCACTTTCTTTTTATGGTAATTTTAGTAGAAATGCCCATAGTTAGGAATCTCAAGGGAATTAGCTGCTGCAGCTATTTTTACTCAAGAGTATAATAATATTTTTCAATGCCAAGAAATCCTAAATTGTGGTTTTAGGGAGTTTTTTGGGTCGCTTTTTTTTTATGTGGAAGTGCACAGTATAACTAATTCAAGATATTTTCACAAAAGTGGCAAATGTGAGTAGTGTTATGGCTCGCATAACAAGTTGTTTGTTCTTTTTGAATTTCATAGCCTTCAATTACTGCTTTACAAATAAGCTAGAACTCTGCTAATGGTGGGGATGCAATGAACATTTGGGATACCTTTTGGAAAGGGTCTTGCTTTATACAGGTTTCTAGGGAGCATGACATACTTTTAAGTCCTTTGGTCCTACTTTGTTCCATGCTGAAAATACAAAACATGACATATAACAACAAACAATTATCTTTTGTGGTGATATCTTTTTAGAATAAATAATTCCTTCCCATATATGTGAAATTCAATTAGCTTTTCAGTTGTGTTGAGCTGGAATTGCCTGAACTAGGATTTTACCTGTCTATCAGAGGTACCAGGAGTTTTAGAGGAGCATCAGGACAAGAAAGTAGCATTGTTAAAGCACTACACGACTTGAAGTATATCCTGGTATTTTGGTAAAATTAAAAATACTTACGCTTTTCAGGTAAATGCTATTCATATTTGTTGAGAATTTTGATGCAGACTACAGTAAATGTGACTGTTTTCCTTTTTCTTTTTCCAGTTACTTTAATGTATTTTCTCATTTTTTAAAGTTTTGGAAAATCTGTCCTATGGAGCATCTTCTGGCTCGCCTTGAAGTTGATTCACGGCCTGTGTCACGACGCATAGTGAACCTCTTATTCAACTCTTTCTTCCCCATTAACCAGCCTGAGTATGTGTGGTGTGAGCGCTGTGTTACTTTAATCCAGATGAATTCGGCAGCAGCTAGAAAGTTCTATCAGTATGCTTATGAATATACTGCCCCCACCAATATAGGTAAGGCACAAACCATTTGGAAATACCAAAACCACACAATGTAATTGCTTTTCAAAATTTCTTACCTCACACTGACGCATTGTTGGTAGCTCTTTTGGGGTTTAGTATATTACTTCATATGTCTTTGTGTTTTTGACACCAGCAATAAACTCTGACAACTGTCATAAGCCTTTTCTACAGTAAACTTTTTGTTTTTGCTCTTCGATGTTGTACTGTGTGCATAACCAATATTGTTATTTGGTGTCTCTTTCCATTTCTCCTTCCATGTACCGTAAAACTGTCTAAATCAATATATATTTATCATGCAAAAACAGTGAAGTAAAATAGCTGATGTCTCGGGGGATTTGAGATCTCTATGTAGAAGTTTCTATAAGAAGTGAGAAATATTTATGTCTGATAATCTGATACTCTTAAGGCTTTCAGTGACAAATATATGTACTGTAGAGATTTTATAAAAGTGTTATTGAACCAAGTAAGATTGGGAAAAAAGATGTTTCAGATGAATTTTGGTGCTATAAAAACACAGTAGTCAGCATGGGGTGACTTGGGTAAAATAAAGCCATTGCCCCTTGACTGATCATATTACTGTAGTAGGGTACTTTTGAAATACCCTGTTATGGTATTTCAGCTTGTCATACTTTCACCAGAGTAAGCATAACCTTTTCACTTAGATCTAAAGATGAGATCCGCATTAAGCAGTGCAATCGTTTGGCTACTGTGTCTTTTATAAATAATTGGGATGTACATTGGAAGAAATGGGGTTTTAGACATCATTCATTAAATTAATAGCTCTGCCAGATGAACGTAGGAGTTGTGGGAGCTTCCTCTGATCCTGATTTGACTTTTTTTTGAGTAGACATTTTTAACAATGAAATTAAAGAACCTTGTGATAATGTTGCCATTTCTTTATATTTGAGTATATAAAATTTTTGTCCATTTTTCCATTTTTGTTTACCAGGAAATTTGACATCTTTTTTTCCAGCTCTTTCTGGTTCTGTTACCTGCTTTTCAGAACCTAGCATTGTACTTAGAAGCATTTACTAACAATGTTCTTCAGGAATAGTAGAGATCTCATTTATTCTTCTTATACTTAAATGTAGCTAAACTGATGCTAACAATTCGGCGCTGCTTAAATGCCTGTATCCAGAAAGCAACAAAAGAGAGTCTTCATGATGATGATGATGAAGATGAAGAAACTGAGAAGGAGAGCATAAGTGTAAGAAAGTCCACTTTATGCTAAGTTTTGGTATCTTTGTGGTGCTTAATTTCAGATATAGGCAGTTAATGATATGACAGAAATCTGAAGAAAAGCAATTGAACATCTGTGGAATTAGAAGGGGAAAACCACTATCATGGGGTTTTCATGCCCTGCAAAAACAGAAACTTGGTGAAGTGTGTAGAATAAGATAGACGGAATGTGGCGTATACTCGAATATTTCTTTAATTCCACTATTTAAAATAAGTTTGCTAGATTTTGCAATTAAATATTTTCCCCAAAAATAATGTAGTAAGATGAATAGAGTTAGAGGTTATGAATGAATCATGGAGTTGCTATTTTTGCAATAAACACCACACCTTTATGAAATGAATGCAAATTTTCAATGTTTTTGAAACCTTATTTTAACAAATTTGTATTTTAGTATATAATAGGTAACATCATTTGAGTGTTTTTATTTCAGATGTTCAATGATGTGTTATCAGTAAATGATGTGGCAAGCATGGCCAGTTTATTGGAGATTGTAGTAATTCTCTGGAGAAGTATTCGCAAAGCACTAGATCACAATGAAGGTGCCAAAGATTATGCCATCAGAAAATTTGCTTCGGTACTTCCTGAGTATTTAAAAGTATTTAAGGCAAGTCTCCTTGATGGATTTAATTGTTCTTGTGTTATTCTTAAGATTGGGATATTTTGACATTGGCTAATATCATCATCCTGTAGTGCATTTGGAAGCCTGGTCTAGTGGAAGTGTTTGTTTTTTTTTGCTTACGGCTTTTGCAGTGAAGTTTACTGAGTTATGCTGGTTGTTATACTTAGCAACATTCAAGTCAGTTTTAGATAATCAGGGAGTGGAAAACAGTTCAGTTCTACATAATATTCTGCAGTACAGATAGACCAAATATCTTTCTACCCTGAAAGCATTTGGAAGTTGTCAAATCTTTTCTGCTGGAGGATGTAACATCCCTCTTGATAGGTACTGATGAGCAGACAAGATATCCAGCTTTAGCAAGTGACTTCTTGACTTTGATGTGAGTAAGCAGCTTGGATCCAAAAAGACTCGTCATCAGGGGCTTATTTTCTAAAAGACTACAGATTGAGGCAAAACGTCTCTTTCCTGAAAAGCTAGATATTTTTTTTAAACACATTATTTTTAAAAATAATCTTTAAAAGGTTTCAGCTCTTCAAATGTCTAAATAGGTAATAATTTCATTTGATTGTATTCATAAAGCTTGGACAACAGATACACTATTTTTATTTTGAAAAGTTTCTCACATAGACTGGCTTTTATGTAATGTAATTGAGACTATGTAGCGGTCTATACTTTGTATTATAATGTGCTGTAACAACCTGTAGTGTATTTCTACGTTACTATTACTATTTAAGCACCTTTTTTTTTTTTTTTTTTTACAGTTGCCTTTAAAAAAAATTCTGATTTGAATGAATACTTGTTTGAGGCACTAGTTACTTGAGAAGAGTTAGGTGGTGTCATAATTGTGAAATTAAATAACAGCTGCTTCTTGGAAAAGTGTAAGCTAGAGCTGTTATTTCTTTTGCAATGGTTTATTATCTAATGGAGCCATAATTTTTGGTGGTTGTTCTGATAGTTTGTTGGAAAGCTAAATGATAAAATAGTTGAGAATTGATCTCCAACAATATGAATCAGAAGTTTCAGACTGTGAGCCATGTGTTGTTAGGATTTTTTTTCCACTTCCATTTATAATGAAAAGAATAAAATCTTCAGTTTGAGATAATTTAATCATAATGAGTACTCTCTTTAATTTTCCATGTATGACAGTACACATACATCATATCATGCACTTTTTTGTATTGTAGGATGACCGTTGCATGACTCCGTTGGTTATTCTTGCATCCTTTATGCCCCCTGCTGCTATTCCTACTTTCAGGTACTATCTTTCAATCCAAAATGTGAATGACAAAAACTCTCTTGCTGACTGTTTTTGTTAATTTTTCACAAGCTGACATGTGGAATGACCGTGTTTATAAATTAATCCACTAAATAAATTTGCAGAGTTAGTTAGTAAAATCTATGTGGTATGTTTTTTTGGTATTATATTGATTGATTATCTTTGGGTTATTTCTGCACTAATGGCTGTCAAGCTAACATATCTTTTTCCATTTTTTTTTTTTTTTTTTCCTTCTTCTAAGCTGTGGTGTGATCTCCAAACTCAGAAATGTTGACAGTGGAGCTGATGAAAGCAAATACTCTACCCTGATAGACTGCGTGTGTCACTGGGGACAAGTGGGACACATTATGGAATTAGCCGGTGATTGGTTGTCAGACATGTTAACCCCAAGAAAGGTGTGCATACATCAAGGAGTTATAAGAATACATAAATTTATTGTGCTTTTTTTTTTTTCTTAAGAAAGAGCTTCTTCAATGCTATGTTTTCCTCCTTCAGAATTAAAATACTAACATCATTGTACTGGTTTTGTGCTTCATCCTCATTTAGAGTCTTAAAACATCTGAACGACGAGTACGTATCCATGTAACACAGGAATCAAAGCCAGAATTAGCGCTTGATTACATTGAATATTTACTGACTCATCCTGTTAATCGTGGTTGCCTACTCTCTGCACCTAAAAAGAAGCTGAGCCAGCTTTTCAAAATTTTGAGAGCTGCAAAGGTATTGTACCTTTAAAGAATGCTTATAAAAGAGTGCTTCATATCATAACATATATTGTCTTACTCAAGTTAAACTTCTGCAACAATAAATAAATAAGCTTCACTTCTACCTTCTCCTTTATAAAAAGGTTTTCCTTTTTATTTGTACTTCAGACAAATATTTGAAACTAGAAGTACATTAGTTCAAAATTGTTTATAGGTGGCAGATTTTAACTGCCTTATTGTTTTTAGGTGTCTTCAACTTTTGTGATCTAGTGTTGAGCATTTTAGGAGACCTGACTTTTGCAATGTACAGAATAGTCTGAAAATCCATTCTAGTGTTGCAAAATGAAAGTGAAATTATACCTTTTCATTTTATTGTGTTTTTTTTTTTTTTCTTACTTTAAAATATTTTGTTTATAGTTGTCGAGAAAAAGAGAATAAACGTTTGAAAGGAATTTCTGGAAAATCTAATGTAAACTGTAATATTTCAGGAAGTTCTTGACTCAATTCTGAAAGCAACCGATGCAAGTTCTGTTGGCTGCAATCAAACAACTGCCTTAAGAGCCTTCAGCCTATGTTGCAGGTTGAGTATTCATCTTCAAAACCAGGTATGGTTATATCTTTTCAGAATAACGTTTCGCAGTAGCTGGAGTTACAGCTGGCAGTATAAGGAAATACCAAAAGAATTGAAATTAGAAAAATTATAAACTTCTATTGTGTTTTGTTTATTTTTTTTCAGTTTTCTGAAGACGGAAAAGATTACCTGTCAATTCTGAAGGAGACAGGTGATTGGATAGAAAGTCAAGTTGTACCTTGTTTGCTAGCAACTGATCAAGAGGACAGCATTTCAAAACAGAGTAATGTTTCTCAATTAATTATCCAGGTTAGAGGTCTCTTATTGGATTGACTACAGCTTGATTTATAAGTTGTATATGTGGCAATTTTATGTGGCATAATAAAGTGGAGCTTTTGGATCACAACAGAAGATGACTTAAAGGGCAAGGAAAGTAGTGTGATTGTGAGAGACAGGATTTAGATCTAATAATATTTGCTTGCTTGTTTCTCTCCTTCCTTCCTAAATTTTGCACTTGCTGTCATGGGCAGGGACTCATTGGAGGGTCACTGTATTTAGACTGCTCGTTTGTTGAGACCATATCATGACATTCCAGCATGTCTCTTCGTGTCATGTGGGATTACCAAAGCATTGTAACTCGGTTATTCTTGGTGCCAAGATTTTCCTTTTTCCTTTAGTACAGCCATCAGAGTGTTCCTTCAGTTCCTAGGGACAAAGAAAGGGTTTTGGATCATCCCACAGGCTTTTTGTCTCTTGACAATATTGTTCTGTATTCCTTATCTTCAATTACCCTTCACAGAAAACATTTGATTAGATAACGCTTAAGCTAGTTTTGAATAGTCTTCTGTTATATTTCCCTGATGTATTACTTAACCCAGTGTGGATTTTACCATTGAGCTATGGTTCTTTTCAGATTTTGATCAAGGGAAAGATTTGGACTAACTGTAATTGCAATCCGTGTCCTTGAGTGACTCAACTAACCTGAACATAGGCTGGTTAGAAATTCCCTATCCTGTCTGCATTAGTATTCTAGTCTTACCATGTAACGTGTGTGTCTGTGCAGGAAAATGCTCTTTTGCTATGCCCTTTTTAATTTTGCAATTCAAGATTGTTAGAGAGGTCATAATGTGCCTGGGTAAATGCTCAGTGTCAGTGCCTCTGATCTAGAGCCTGAGTGAAAAAGACAGAGGATTTACTGCTTTTTGAGAAATATTTTTCTGTGGAAGAAAGAGCAAAGTGTTTGGAACAGTCTTTGGAACTCCTGCTTATCAAAGGTTGAGAACATATCTGGTGCACCTACTCTGAGTTACTTTCAAATTTAGTCGAGAACACAGGATCGTGTTAAAAATGGAAGCAAGAAACAAAGGGATGTATTCTTTAACAATAACATTGGTCTGCTCTTATACACTGCATTTGACCTTTTACATGTTATAGCTGGTGTCAAAAATGAAAATGATGCTACTTCTGTATTCCTGTCCATACATAGGAGTGTCCCAGAACATAAAAATATATATCAGGATTTTTATACCTATATAATAACCTTGTGTGGTAGCGCATTTACCACTGGATCCCATCATTTGCATTTTTAAGTACATTTGTCCACTAAGTAGTATTTTTACCTTCAAGAAAGGATAGACAGATGCTTATTCTGCTGGACTGTGGAGCTATGAACTACCTCTGTCGAGGAAAAGCTGATGTCCTGTGAGGCAGGAATTCCTAATACACGTATTACTTTTTCTCTTCTGCAATGTGAAAGTGAAAATGGATAAACACCTATGAGTTTATACGTATTAATCTCTCGTAATAATGTCTCACAAAATGCTAGTACTGTGAAGCTTTCTTTGAAGACTTTCCCCCATCCCATCCCTTATCTAATTTCAATATGTAAAAGATAATTAAACGATTCCTTTGATTTGATATTTTTACTACTTTTAACTACTACTGAACTGTTGCTTTAAACATATATATATTTTTTCTTTCCTGATATATTTTTGCATCTCTTTTCCAGGACTACCTGACAGTGTGTAAAGATCTAATAATGGTTGGCCTTGGAAATCTTAAATTTCAAGCATACCTTTTAGATATAGCACTGGCAGTTATACAAACAGGTATGGTATTTTGTGCTAATGTTAGCATCTCTATACATGCTTAGATTACTTTTTTTGTATTAACAGAACTGTTGCTATTTGCATTTTGGAGTCTGTTTCTCAAAACATGGTATTTACAGATTATGTTAGTATCAATAATCAATGTCAGAAGTAACAGCAGCTTTTCAGAAAACGGAAAACTGCAAGCAGAGAAGCAGTCCAGAGTCAGGGCACTCTTGATAACTAATGTTTCTTACTTACTGTTACATTTTAGTTACTGCTGTTTGATATACAAATTATATACATATACACATTATAGATATATATATATATATATGTTAATAATAAAGGCCAGGCTGGATGGGGCTTTTGGCAGCCTGGTCTGGTGAGATGTGTCCCTGCCTATGGCAGGGGTGTTGGAATTAGATGATCTTTAATATCCCTTCAAACCCAAACCACTCTGTGATTCTGTGTGTAGAACAAAAATTATTATCAGTATGCCTTTGGAGACAACATTGTAGCACTATTTAAGTAGTGCTCCTGAAGAAATCTACAATCTTAATCTCTATGCTTCAATAATTTTTGGCAGGGACACTGGGTTTATGCTTGAAATATTGATTGAACTGTATGAAAATTTCAGCTAAAGGTGCTCAGAAACTAAATGTGTTGTCGAGGCTTGGAAACTATAGCTGTTTATGGTATATAGCAGAGTTTTCATTCTGAGCTTGTACCTGGAGAATCTCTCATAACAATTTTCATACTGTGGTATTCATCTCTTTCTCTAGAGAGAGGTGGCTTTTGTACTCCAGTGTTACTCTGTGTTCTAAAAGAAATTACTGAAGCTTCTTTGACTCAAAACACTGAGACACATGAAGTGGAAAGTCTTCTCCATGCTGTACAGACTGTCTTCCAGAAAATTTTAGAATGTGTCTCATGCAGACTCAAGAAACAGCCGGAAGAAGGGATTCAGGTATTATGCTTAAAATTTTCTACCTACCTCTAGATGAATTCATACTTTTTACTCAAATGTGAAGTGGTGTTACACTTGGGTACTTTGAGGTTATTGTCCCATTCAACATATAATTAGATTTTTGGTTATTTTTTCTAATATTATTCTATGTTTTCTCATTTCCAGTGTGTTTGTTTGTTTTTTTTTTTTCTTAAAACTGTTATTGGTCTTGTAGCAACAGAAAAACTAGTAAAATAAAGAACAAGGCATTCTCTTGCAACTGTTCTTGAACTACCCTAGTACTAGTAGATTATTAACCTTATCTGCAATGAAAATGAATTTTCTCATTCCAGAGCAAAGAATTTAATTGTGTATGTTATGATCTTGGCAGAGGGAAAAAAAAATATACCTATATTATTTATTTGTTTCAGCTTGAATTGTATCAGCTTCAATATAAGGGTCATGTCCCAGAGTTCTTCTGACTGTCCTATCTTCTCAGAAAAGTTAGCTTGTATTTTTTAACAGAGACTATATAGTAGTGAGACAGGTGGATAACTGGCAAATAAGATGATCTGCTTTCCAGGACTTCTGAAAAAAAGTTCTTTTTTGGTTCAACTGTTGTTTTGTTTGTTTCTTTCAAACTTATGAGCAAACTTTCTATGCATTGCTGATTTCCTCTCTGATCCCTGGTGAATGAAATACCACAATAGCTTTCAAGGCGTGATCTGCACTTTGCAGAAAACGGTTTGCTGAAATATTTTAATTATACTCAAGCAATCTCAAACAGCAGTTTTTCTTCTCTTTTAGTTAATTCGCTCTATTCAAATGCCTCTTGGAGAATTCATATATGCAGTCCAGTACTGGCGTTCATCTTGCACAGCAGTTCACCAAGGTGTGCTCTCTACTCTCCTAGATGCAATAGTAGTGGAGATAAATTATGCGTTACAAAAGGTAAAGTTAATGCTGACTCTTTTTTACACTGACTTCTTAATGTTAGAATAACAGAACTGCATTCAGAAAGTGTGTTTTTTCTACTGCAGATGATGATTTTGTGTGTTTTGGCATGGAACAAACAGGAAACTTTACCATTGCCATACTGTTCAGAACCTGATACCAAAAAGACCTAACACAGGGAATCAGGGAATTGCTGTTATCTAGGTTATATTTAGAAATGATGTATGCATACTTAAACTTGGAGACAAAAAAGACATTAATTTCTGTTTAGTGTGCTATGCCTTTACAAATAGTAACTAGTAATAAATATTTCCCTTGGTACAAATGCTATTTATTTGTTTTAGTTTTAGCCTTTCTAATTTAAAATCATTTTGTTAATTTGGACTACGCATTTTTTGGTTTAAGGGTGCTCAAAGAATACGTGTGAATGTTTCTTTAATTATTTAAGGATATGTCTTGGTTAGCATAATCACTGAAGTATAGATTTGCCAGGATATTTTCTGCAAACGTATAGTTCTTAATTTGCAGAAGTTGATTTATTTCTTTTTTTTAGGCTTCCAGTGAAGGAGACTTAACTATACCAAAGACTGTTTCAGACCTTCCACCTCTTTCAAGCAGTTTAATGACCATAATTATGAAGACAGTTAATGTGGTCAGGTAAATGTTTCTCCATTAATTTGTCCAATGCAAAAGCCTTTGACATTACAGAATCCGATGCAAACTTGTAATTTGTGGACAAGCAATTGTTTTGCACCAGATTCTGCAGTGTCTGTTATGTTTTCAGTTACTAATGACTCAGTCTTGTGTATTTTTAATTTCACTTACTTTTAATTTTAATTTTAAATTTTAATTTAAAACTTTTAATTTCAGTCCCCCTACCAGTGATAATATTGTCACTTAGCAGTATCTGACAGTTCAGCAAATGTCCTTTTCTTTAGTAGGAAACTATCTGTGTAGGAACCAATTACTTCCCTCTCTTATATATGTGTATTCCGAAATAGCTTCTTGTTCTGAAATATTCTTATTTTATCTCTGCTTGTAGGCTCTTGTGACTCCTGTGGTGGTAGGCAGCTTGTGATTCCTGTGCTGGGGAGGCAGCTGTGCTGTCTCTGCAGTGAGTCTTATTACAGGTTAATACTATTACAAAGTTCCTTCATGGAACTAAAGACTGTGCTTACTAAAGTAAGCAGTGTGGTAACAAAGTGAAAACTCCAGGCAGAATACTATCAGTCAGCAATTTAAGGGTGATGAAATGGAATTGACACTTGGTCAGTTTATTCCACAATGTTACAATAAAGCTATACAATACACCAGCAGCTTCATGAACACTGATTTCAGAGCTTAAAGTGGTGTCATCGTTCTCTGATCTTTGTAGAAGCTCAAACTTTGCTTCAAAATTTTATTCACTGAATCATTAGTGGAGATTGGTTATTTTGTTAATGACATACTTAAGGGCTCTATTGTGCTGAAATACTAAAAGGAAGAGCCATTAAATTTGAAACTGTCTTGAAAATGTTCACCCTTGAATTTGACTAGAGAAACAGACCACTTTCTTGACTCCGTTCTTTCATTTCTCTTAATATATTCTCCTCAAATATTTATGAAGTTCCCTGGTAATACTATCGTCTCTTGCTAAAAGTGAAGATCTTAAGACGCGTTTTTGCATCTTAACATTTGATTGTATTGTTAGTGTTTATCTCAAGCTTCACAATGAAAAGTTGTTAGTGTGTCCATGCTTTTGATATCTAAAATGTAGTTGGAAAGTGTTTCAGGGCTATATTCAGCTATAAATGTTCTTCAGTGCTGCTTCTGAAATTGGAAACGTTTCCATTTTGTTTCTATGACATACATGTTTTTGACTAAAATATCAACTTAACTCCAGGTTCTAATTAAGCTACAAATAGAAATAGATTTAAGGGCATGAGTTGTTACTAATAATACACTGGAGTCATATAAATATATTTTAAACTTCAGTAGAAATTGAAATTAGAAACTTCACTACAAATTGCATAAGTTAAATTCCAGTAAATCTAGTACCTTTTTCAGATGATCCTTCCTAAAGTACTCCACGAGCTCTTCATTTCTCATAAAAACTTATTCTGTGTACAAATTTTTTCTTCCCAAACAATTTACCATTCTACTAACTCAAATGTTCTTATAGTTCTAGGGGAAGCATGCAATTTTCAGCCACCCAGTAACTATCCTTTATCCTGCATGGTATCTTTAAAGCTATGGTGGCAGGGTAACATAGTCACAAGCTTGTTGTTTTCTGTTCTGTTTTGAGGGAAATATTATTTATTAAGTATATTTCCTTTGTTTTTTCTTTAGGTCATTTTTAAATGAATTAATGGAATGCATTCTCTCCAAAGAAGTTGAAGAGATTTTTAGTCTTACAGCTATGGTCTGCATTGTGATTATAATTAAAGGTCAGTCAAACTCTTTTTGTACAATAATTTTTCTTTTTTTGCTATGCTGCTCTTTAAAAGCCAAGTTCTTATACAATTCAACAGGCGCTTTTCCTCATCCTATTAAGTTACCATTTTTCTAAAGAATTTAAGGACATATCACTTGTACATGATGTTGTTAAGCTTAGGAGTTTCAATCTTTGCAGTGAATTTAAAAATACATCTATCTGCTAATTCATCTGGTCCATCTCCTTATTCTGGTTTGCTGAAACACACAGTAATTAATCCAGGGCAGTGAAAATCTGATGTCATATATGTCATATCTAATCTTTAATTGAAGAATCTTTAGTGTTAAAAAGATAGTCTATGAAAATACACAAGTTTATTTTTTGATAAAGCATTATTTTTGTCCAACTTTTCAACATAATCATATTTCAAATAGGTAAGCACAGAGCTTCACTTCTAAAGGATATTGCACCTGTCATTCAAAGAAAGCTGATAACATACAAGGAAACTGCCACAGAAGAATCTAGCAATACAGAAAGGTAAATGTGCTACGGGAAATGAACACTAAACTCCCCTATACCCTCTCTGCAGTAAATGGCTGTGTTCTATACTTAGGTAATACAGTTGGAGCATTCTGAATGATTGCAAGGTTTAAAATAGTGAGTAAAAATCTTGAGATATTGAGCTCAGCACAGTATTAAATTTCCTGCCAGTACATTTGCTGTGATTGTAATCTTTACATATTTTGGGGTGGATTTTTTTTGCATTTAATTTGAATGCATTATGACTTCATCCTGTTGTATCGTGGATCTCAAACTCAGTTTTGTTTGCAGCAGGTGTAGGACAAACCAAGTAGTCTATTTAAGGTTTCTTATAAGTAGAAGATTTTTCTCATGGCTCTTGGTAGTAGGTGTATCGATGAACACATGCAGATGTTAAACATTTAAGTGAATATAACAGTGACTTTCAAACCTTTCCACAGTTGATTTTATTTTGGTCATTTTTAAAATTTCTGTTTTACATGTGGTTGACTTTTAGATTTTTTGGGATGATTTTTTTGGGTGGTTTCTTGAATGTTATTGACTAAGTTGCATTTGCAAGCATTTATTGCAGACCCGCCTCAGGCAGACAGTTATGAATGATTTAGCCTCAAGTGTTTCAGAATTGTTCAAGTCTAAAATAAAATTTTAACATTTGATCTCTGCCTTGTTTATTGAACTGCCTGTGGAAATAGAAAACATGCGGTGTAGACGTTAAGAAGCACAAACAGACTGAAGAAAAGACTACTGGAATTTAAATAATGTAACACATTTTTAAGTACTTCAGAAACTAAGTTACAGTTCCCTGTGTCTCCTGGTTGGTAGGGTTAGTAACTGAGAAGGGTAGGCACGCTGCAGGAAGGATAACTGATTTCTTTACATAATGTTTTTTTTTCTCTCTCCTACTCTTGAATAACAAAACAGATAACTTATTTTGTGGAAAATAGTTCTCCAAGATATTCAACAAATTGGTATAGGGATAACTAGATAAAGAACCAAATTGGTTATGGACACTCATCCATACCTAAAGGAGCTAGCAATGCACCACGTCCTGAACAGGAGGAGGCCGTTGAAATCAATCAATCAATAAATAATTCATAATTTTATTTAACCATTTCATGAATGGCCCTTCAAACATAAACACACCACATTCTTCTGGTGGATCATTGGCCTGAGGCACGTTGCTTTGTGACAAGACAGAGACCTTCCTCAGCTCTGCTGTGACTGAACTGGTGTCCCTCATTTAAAGTTAATACTAAAGTTATGAGAAGCTACTGTATGAAAAAGCAGGTGATTTATTGAGGGGACCACATAGGCTCTATTTCTTTCTATTCAAATCCTTAGAATTTGCACTTGAGTTCTTTCAAGAAGCCCAACAGCTACACTACCTTGTTCTGGCAGTGGTAGAACTTTTAAAGGGCTGTGCAGTAAATATACATTTAGATGTGATTCAGAAGTGCAGGAAGTACAGCAGTAGCTTTTTTGCTAACAAAACACTTGCTCATTTAAATCTGCTATTATATCAGAGCCTAAGGGGTGTTATGTAGTTCTTTAAATGATATATATAATCTTAAGAAGTAGACCAGAAAGTTTTGTGATATGATCTACCTCAGTTATATGCAATCAAAACAAACAAATTTAATAAAAAAAAAAGGAAGTAAAAATAAATAAATAAATAAAATTCAACCCATTATTCCCTATTCTGTTTGACCTAAGTAACCAGAAAACAGAAATATTGCTATCCAGATTTTAAGAGTGACTTCTGCAGAGGACATTGTGTTTGTGTAACATAAAATTGATAAAAACAAAAATAAATAAGTAGATAAATAATCACTGCATAGTTAGATTTCTAAACCTTCATCAAAGTGACTCTGCTTCCTGGGTGGCTTGTTTTAATTAGTTACTGGGCTGTGAACAAAGCTCTTTTGGTTGGGACTTAGCTTAGAAACAAAATCAAGCAAAAATAAACTATTTTTTTCATTGAGTCATTTAGTGCTGGGTTGCCAAGTGTTCTACCAGAATATTTTTAAAAATGATAATTATGATCTGGAAAAGAAAGGTGAACAGCAGAGTATCATGATTCGGTTATGCAATTCTTTTAATCAAGACAGTGGCTGAGAATTTAAAGCAAATCTTAACATGATTAAATAAATAGGCGCATTAAAATGAATAATTGCTACCACTTGAGTGCACTACTGACTATAAATTCCAGTAAGAACACAGATAATTGCTTTGTGGATCTATATGAACATCTCTGCCCAGTGAACAGGGACAAATCATCCTACAAGCTGGGACAGATGAAGAGCATAAGATGCTACACAGTGCTTTAATTCTGTGATATATGAATGACTCCCTTTGTATCATACAAAAACAAGAGATAGCTGTAGATAAAATTAAAAGGTTAGGAATATGAGCATGATGGTGAGAAGTATTTGTAACCCAAATTAGAATTACAGTATGCTAACAAAACTCTGCAGAGCTGTGTGATTGTTTCTGATCTTGGGAGGATTATAGAATTCAAGAACTCCCACAAATATGTTGTGAGGTTAGTGGGTTTTTTCCTCCCTTCTCGCCCCAATTCATGTAGGAAAAGGTTAAGAGGAAGTTCTTTAATGATTAGATTTTCCTTGATTAATTATTAGTGTATTTGTGTTAAATTTGATTACTTATTAGTGCCTTTCTCAGATAGGTGTTCTGCTGGGACAGGCTGGGCTGCTACTGTCTGAAGACACTTATTTTTAGTGCTCTAGTACTAGCGTGCTAATGTATAGCTAAAAGGTGATTATATACAGTCTGAAATGTGCACTGTTGTTTGTAAATGATTTTATCATTGTCTTTTTCCACTCTACTTAGCAAGCCCCTAAACGTTAATTATGGTATGCTGCAAGTTGGATGTCAGATAATTGCTTTGACCATAATCTTGAAAGGCAAAATGTTGCACTGATGCATGCTAAAACATATTACTGTGTTTTTAATTCATACTTTAAGGTATTATTGCTGCTTACTTCTGAATACATTACCTCACAGCAACTCTGATGGATTATTTCTTTTTAATACCCAGGTATGCCACGAAACAGTGATATTCTTTAATTTCCCAAGAGACTTGGCATTCTGTGCCAGCATCTTAAATTTAACGTAGCAGTCATCTATTACATATTAGCAACGAAATAAATAAGTAAAACTCCCATCCGGTGGAGTACTTAAAATGCTGCCATTAAACAAGGAGTTGTTATACTAATTTAGAAGCAAAATTTTTCATTGTAATTTAGACTTTCCTCTTCAAGCTGAGCTAGCAGTTTAAAAAGGCCCTGTGGGTCTAAAGTTGCTGCTCATCGCACTTTAAAATTCTGGACAGCATATTGTATATTGAGAGAATTTCCTCAAGAGTAATGCCACAGACATTAATTTAGTTTATAAAATGCAAGTATTTATTTCTAGAAAAAAAAAAAAGCTACTAAAGCTTCCAGTGCAGTGATTTGGAGGCTAGAGAAGTATTCCATGCTCTGTGAAACAAACGTGCTATAAAATAACACCTTTTAACACCTTGATATTCTGTATTTAATTAGCATCTTAGTAGGTAGTCACTAGAATTTAAACTGAGCTACTGGATGTGCTGAAAGATATTTCTTAATATTATCATTTAAGTAGCTTCCAAAACTCTTTATTGCGCTCTCATTGCATCTATAAATACTGATTCTTGCATTGTTTTGGGACATAACTTTGTGTATGGCTTGTCTGCCTCCTATCAGCACGTTTACTATAGTGGTACCTAGTAAAATTAACTTAAATTTGTTTGGGGAGGCTTACGGTTATGTTGAATCATAGCTTATTGTCTGCAGCTTGACCAGTGTGGTGTTGATAAATGGATCAACTTTACAGAAGTATTATTCTGTTAGCCTTAGATTGTAATAAAATAAAAATTATACAAAGTAACATTGTATATATGACCACTGTGGTCATATACAATTATTAATTATGACAATAATTAACTAATTATTAAAATGAGATACAAAATTAGGACACTAGGTTATTTTGTCTGTAGAGATCCATTATGTCTTGAAGACTGTTAGCATTATAGAGGAAGAGTATGTGACACAACTGTGGCAGTCTGAATTCAGGAAGACCTGGCAACAAATACACTGTTAAGAAAATACGGCTTCTTGTTGTATTTATAGTCTTGGTGTCTCCTTGATGAATGCCCTAACTCAGCATGATTAATGTCTGACTAACCTTGCTTATTCCAGGCCATCGGTATAGGACTGTAATTAAAAAAAAAAAAAAAAAAAAAAGAGAGAGAGAGAGAAATACAGGTGGCAGAATCTTTTACAAAAATAACATGAAGAATAAACTTTATAGTGCTTTACGATGAAATAATAAAATAATATTTTGGCAGAAGACCACAGTCTTTTGAGGATGTCTTAGAGCAGTATTAGGAGAAGTTGTGTGAGAATGCACCTGCAAAGGCTCGGTGAGTGACAATTTTTGGGAGTGCAAGAAAATAAAAAGGGCCTTCCAAATGGAAATTTCAAAGCTGACCTTTGAGACCATTTAGGGAGTAATGTGAAACAAAAGAGTAAGAAAGTGACTAAGATGGATCTAGAAGCAGCTGAAACATGTAGTTAATAAGGATAAGACAGAAAGCTCAGGCTTGGAAAAAAATTACTGAGTTGAGAAGAAAAATTATGAAGACCGAAGAATGAGGGTGAAAGAAAAAAAGTAGAAGACTGAAAAACAGCTTATTATAAACTAGCAGTAAAGGATTTGACCATGTTTTAAAAGATGTAAAATGTTGTGAAAATGCCGTGAAGAAAATGAGTTGTGCTTTTAAATACACATGAAATACAGATGATTAAATATTTGAAAATGTGCTTGAATTTACGTAGTAAATTGAACTGATTTTCTCCAGATTTCAGGAGAGCTAGAAATGGTCAGTAGAAAAATGGGTAAGTTGAAGAAAAACAACTATTTCAAAACTGTAAAGGCAGATATGGAATAACTTGTCAAAGAAATCTCTTAGATTTCTCTTACACTCAAATAGCTGAGGATTGATCTTAGTATGAGCATGTCTAATCCTGTTTTGCATTCTTTTATGCAGTTTCAGAATCCTTTATGAATCATCTCTGAAAATTTTGGATGAACTTTTGAATCCTTGACCACATGGAAGCTTTTGTCATGAAAATTAAAGGAAGGAAGATGAACTGTGTTAAAAAGCATAATATTATCTTGTAAATTTATTAAGAGTTCTATTTTCTGTTACTCTGTACATTTAAAGCAGGCAAAATGTACAAAAGTGTGTATAGAAATCATGTAGTAAAGATTCTCAAAGACTCATAAGGAGGTTGTTTTGTATCAAACTGTCATATATGGGGGGAAGTAAAAAAAAAAAGTATTTTTGTTTTTATAAAACAAATAATAATTGTATATTCTCATTCCTTGAGGTAGCACATAGCCTCAGACATGGAGAAAATTATAAAGCCTATTCCTAAATGTTACAGAAGTCATTTTGAGACACATGAAGGACAAAATAGCAATTGGGTATTGCCAACATGTATTCACTAGGAGTGAATTCTTCCTGACCAACCTCATTTCATTTCCTGCTGTGAACAAAGGGAGAGCAGAGGATGTCACCTTTTCTGTTCTTCGCAGGACTTTTCACCAAGGCTTACGTAGTATTTTTGTAACCAAATTGGAGGGAGATGGGCTGTATGGATGATCTACAAGAAGGGTGGAAAACTGGTTGGACAATCAGACTTGAAGAATAAGGGTGCTACAGTGTCATACTGATGATTAGTGGCATTCTTTAGGGCAGATGCTGTTGCCAGTGCTATTTAACATCTTAATTAAATGCCTGGGCAATGGAATGAAATGCTGCCTCAGTCGGTTGGCAGATGACACCCGTGTGGGGGCAGTGGTTGATATTTTTGAGGGGAAGGGTTGTCTGATTCAGTGGAATCCTGACAAGCTGGACATAAGGATCAACAAATCTCAACGTTCAACTTGGACATGCACAAAGTCCTTCACCTGTAGTGGACTAATTCTATATATCAGCATCAGCAAGTGCAGAAGAGCAACATTACTGTTTTCCTCTACATGAGGAGGATTAAGAAAAGACTGCTTAGAGGTATGCATCAAGAAAACATGAGGCAGCAGACACACTGCAGCAAGAAAAGTACTTCTTGGACATATGAAAGAAAAAAGGATGAAAGCGAACAGAAACTGAAAGTGGAACAGGTTTACCAGAAAGACTGTGGAAGATCCTTCCTTGGAGATGAGGAGAACTTGACTGACAAGGCCTTGACGAGCATGACAGAATTTTGAAATTACCCTGTCTGATCTGGAGGTTGGACTATATTATCTTCTGAGCTTCCTTCCAGTTTAATTGCTGTACATTTGGCTATTTTTATAAATTAATACTGCAGGTAGCATAGACATGTAGGCCAGTTACCTAACTTTTTAATGTGAACAGATGCTCTCCTAAAACTAGTCATAAAATGCTGATTGCAGAATGTTATTTTGCCTTAACTGAGGCATCTATAAATTACATGTCTAAGTTCATAATACTGTTTGCTTTTTTACCTATTTTAGAAGTGGATCTAGTAGGTGTCCCCAGGAAAATGAGTCAACCAAAGACCATAAAGGTAGTATACAAGGACTAGCTTAAACTTGGATATCTAACGCTTAATTATCTTCAAAATGGGGCAGGATGCTTTGCATTTAGTATCTATATAAATGGCTCATTGAGATCTCCAATGTTACAGAGTGGCACTGACACAGAAATTAGCAAATTTAGCTAAATTAAGACAGGCTCTTTATTCTTGATTAGGATCTGTGCATAGTGCTGTACCCCCATCTATCAGGCATCTTTCTGTGGTAGGAGTTGGTAACCTTTTTAGTGCATAAAATTTCACTCCTAGACAGAAGCTTATTTAGCTGAAATGTTGATATTTAAAAATAATCAAATCCTGAATAAACAACTGTCAGGCTTTACAACAGGCACGTCAGTATGGATATGTGAATTCCAGAAGATTTACTTTATCCATGATGGTAGCCTGAGCCAAAAAGTCTAATGCTGCCCCAGCAGGTAGCTGTAGATCTGCCAACTGTTTATCTATCAACATCTTTCTAAAAACTGTGTTCTTTGGCCTTCAGTCTTCTACATCTGTTAACAGGCAGGTGTTCCGGTAATGACCTTTTAAATCTTCTGATTATACAAATTAGTTAATGAATATGTAAATCACTTTCGTTTTTTTCTGCTTCTCAATCTTTCATTGTTTTCTCATATTAAATTAGAAGAGAATTTAAGTTACTGCCTTTTTTCCCTTGGTCTATAGCGCTGCTTTTTCAGTTTCCATTTTTTATGGAGTACCTGTTACAGACCCAATATCCCAGAGCCTGAAAGAAATAAAGGTAACTACCAACATCAGAAATAGACTGATTTCTTCTGAAGAACTTAAGAGGTGACATTGTAAGGGAAGGTAAGAAAACTTAGAGATGAACTTTTGTCCGTATTCTATCATGGCTGATACTCAAGTGGTTCTCAAGGGTGTTGAAATTGTTCTGTGGTGGCAGTGGAGCTGGTGTAGAGATCTCAGCCCGAGATCCAGTCCAGCTGTATTATAACTCCTCTGATAGATGAAAAGCCACGGGCTTTCTGCAACACAATCAATGATGTTCTTTGAATTCTGTGAGCCAAAGTCTGTCAAGTGCTTTCTCCTTGGGTCTTTCTGGTAAATCTCGCAACAATATAAGAAGGTTTTACTTGGTGTTCTCATTGCAAACTAAGTCTTGCCAAAATGTTGAATCCTTGTATTTATCTTTTATATATATATATATATATATATATAAATAAATAAATAGTATATTTCTTAAGCTGAATTACCTTTTTGAAGCCTGTAAATCAGATTTGTTTTATCTTACTGATTAAAAGTGCCTTTGAAGTGCTGTTGGGGGAGAAGGATTGGTCTTTGCTTCTTGTTATGGAACAACTGATAATCAGAGTAGATTTGGTTTGCTGTGCTCTCCAACCTGTATGTCAGAGAAGTTCCCACAGTTTTGGAACAGACCCACTGAGATCTGTTCCAAGTTGAACTTAACTAATAAAACTGTTTGAAATATGAACAAGATAAAACCTTTCTAAGACAACCTTTTAGCAATTTGCACTGGTAATCACTGTTAATGTATATGTATAACTGCCTGAAGAATAAATTTTCTAGTCAAAGTTGTACCTGTAAATGGCATGTCTGGAGCTCTCCTCTTCATGCACGTATATCCGGTTTAAATATTACTGAAGAAACCAATAGCTTTAGACTAATTGTGTCTGTTTTAAGCTCAATCTCTTTTTGTAAAGGGTCTGGGCCCTTTTTTGATGACAAGGTTCTTTTGCTGTTTTCTGACTGGGAAGCAAAGTCCAGCAGTCTTACATCTATGACAGCTTCAAATCGTGAGCTAAAGAAATGCCAGGAGAAGTCCTCTCGCTTCTTCCTTAGCTAAGAAATGTCTGCAAGTTCGGATCCAACTACACAAACTTTGTGGCTTGCCAAGGAAAAGGAAAAAATTCTGCCTTGGCCTCTTGATGTTTACTCAGCTGTACATCACTGTGCATTCAAACTCACGTATGCTGCTGCTACCAAGTGCTACATGATTTTAATTATGTTCTAATTGTAGCTTCAATTTACTTAGAAATCAGTGGGATTTTTTTTTTACTAAGTCATGCTGTTCGGCATAGATTTGTCCCTAGTCCTCCAGTGCCAGTGTGTCGTTTGTCTACTTGCACATCAAGGTCCTAGAAAAGCTGCACCAATTACACATCCATTAGCACTGAGGAAGCTCTAATGGTGGAAATTCACCTTCTGCTCTGTTAGTCAGCATTTTTTCAAAGCAGTGTCACAGTGGTAGTTCTGGCACGTTCTTACTGCTTATGACTGTAGGAAGTAGAAGCTGTTACCAACTTTTTTCTCCACTATGATTTACCAGAGGACCACCGTAGTCTGTTTGTTTGTTTGTTTATTTATTTATTTATTTTTTAGTACTTTTCCCCTCTTCTGTTCAATCACTTTCTCACCCGCCTTACTATTCCTGGAATAATCCTTGTTCTGGTTTTAATAATTTTTACATGCTGCAGTAACAGATGCTTTGCTGTAAAGCCTAACGTTTTAAGTATGTATATCTTTGCTGGAAAGGTACATGAATTCTATATGGCCGTATGCCTACATCCAAGAACACACAGGACAGAGCCAGCCCAGCCTCCTTTTGTGCTCTTTGCATATGTACTGCCATGTGCTTCTTTATCTTTTGGGGCACTTATTAAACACCCAACTGTTTGTGCTGTTCATGTGAATGAAGAATATTAATTTGGCATTTTTTTTCCCTTTGTTTCTTAATATAAAAATCCGTACTTACTAATTGCCTAAATTGGTACCTGAGTACCAGCTGACTATCAAGAAATGTCAGCTTCATGCGCTGACCTTTTGGCAATCTTGCTGTGCTTATTAAAAAAAGGCACGTATTAGCAACTTCATTTTCTCAGAATAGCAGCTGAAGTAAAAATGCAGCATCTGTAAGAAGGTACAAATCCAATTAGACCAATCTAAGAGTACTTAAAAAAAAAAAAAAAAAAAAAAAAAAAAAAAAAAGAAAAGAAAAAAGTGACTCTGGTTCCTGCACCAGGCTATCTAAGGCCAGCATGCCCCAAGTCACCCACTGACTGCTCCACGAAGGGAAAAGCTCCTTTTGCTGTGGGGGCTCTTTTTGCTCCCTGCATGACAAAAGCAGTGCCCTTTCTTACACTGTTCTCTGGGATTGCACGCTCCTAGTACACAGTATATAGAAAATGATTTTGCTTGTGGTATTTCTTCACACCAAAAGAAGTTCCAAGGGTTGTCGTTTATTTAGTAAGTGACCATCTTTAGTAACAAAACTAGTTCCCTTTCTCTCTTCTTCTGTCCCTGGGTTCCTTTTGATGGACTGCTGCTCTTGACCTGCAGGACGGCTGTTTTTGTGGGGCTGTAAAATTCTTCTTTTACAGTGAAAGCTGTTTCCATCAGCTGCTTTTAGTCAGTCACCAGGCCTAGCAGTTGAATTAGCCCATGTACAAGAGCTATAAGGGGAACGTTCAGTTTGATGACCACACATTTCGGTCCATCCACACTGGATCCTTGTAACAACATCCAAATTTAAGGACAGTAGCAAGAACATCTGAGACTTATGCTGCATGGCATACTAGAGGTATATGACCCAATAATCTCATTTTTAAACAAAAAAGCAACAACAAAAAAAGTGGGGGTATTAACTTTTGGTGCTTATAGGGCTTTGTTTGTTTGTTTACTTGTTCAGATGTCTGCTCTTGTCAGAATTTAGAAAGTTTAGGTTATGTGAAGACTGAAAAGGAAGAAATGTAGAACAAGTCAGTTCTCAAGGAAATCAAGACCTGTTTGATGCAAGGAACTGAGAGAGCTCACGGAGGGATCTGATTACAGCCCTCCCAGTTCCCTGATTTGATCTGTGCGGGCATAGACAGCAATATTTGGCTCCGGAGCCATCCATCACAAGTCAGCCTGCCTCGGGGGAATTCTTATCTTCCTGGTGAAGATCACAGCCTTCAACTGCCCTGAGCAGCATGCTGAGAGCCGGGAACCCAGCTTGCAGTTTTTAATTTACCAGTGTATCACGATCCATTGATTGAATGCTTGAAAGTGAACTCTTTTCAACGGGATCAAATATTAGAAAGCGCTGCTCTATCTGATGGGGTTCTCCTATGCAATTAGCACAGTGGAACAGGCGTCATGCTTTTGGCTCCTGAAATATGTTAAATTTGTGGAACTATATATATTATGGAAACAATTTTATTTATTTTTAACAGTGTTGAAGGGGAAGAGAAGAATTCTTTCTTCACAAACCTACAGCAAAGACCATCTTCTTCCCTTTACCTCTTACACTTCCTGCGGCAGTTCCAGTTTAGGATATCTCTTTTACTTCTAATTTTATTCACCTCTTAAGGAAAATAGCAGTTACAAGTTAATTTTTGTCTTAGTATCCTTTCAAGCCATGTTTAACTCTTGCTAGTGGCATATTGTACCTCTGCCACCTTTTCACTGTGATATTCCATTCTTCATCAGTAGTATAGGGGATTTTATGACAGAATACTAAAATATCTGTCAGAAAACTCAAAGCAGGGACCTTTTTCATCTGCCTCGTGAATCAGTTGGAGAAATTCCCCTGCTGCAAGGTGGCATTCCCCTTTCTGCTCCAGGCTTCTTTCCAGCACAGTGGGCCCAGGCCAGGTCAGGACTCGAGGTGGTTCTTAGTGCTGTGCCCAGGGCCCTTTGAGGGAGAAATTCCCCCCCAAAAAAAGCCAATATCCTACCTCTGAGCCTTCCCTGCCCCTCTGCGTGGCTGCCAGTGCTCAGCCCCAGCTCTGGGCCCCTGTTTTTCAATAAGCGAGGAGCTGCCAACCCCTCCATAAATTTCTCACTGAATGTTAGGATGGCACAAGAAAACACAAAGTTTAAATATTATGATTTTTGCAATAGTGGCCTGCTTTTTCAAAGTTTGTTGTGACTCCTTGGCTTTACTGAGAGCAATGGATCAACGTTTATTAACATTGCATTAGAAAATAAATCTGTATGATTCAACCTGCCCAGTCATACGCAGTGGAAGCTCCATTATACAGAGCAGGAAAGTTCATGAGAAATGCTCAGCCTAGGAGGAAGATTCCCTTGAGAAGTCAAGTAAGTGTTTTTGTTTGGTCTGTGATGCTCCACCAGAACACTCTGAACCATAACAGAGAGCAAAGGGAAGGCTTTTTAGAGCAGTGATTCAGAACAGGAAAAGAGCATCCTGTCTCTTCTATTATTCAACTTATAATAGTTGCACCAAAACCTATGAATATTCTTAACGTAATCTTGTGCTTACAAAGACACGATGTAATTTCAGTGGAGTTCAAACAATGTTCCTTTACCCAGCTGCCATTACCATGAACTTTCCCTACTTTTTTTTTCAGGTCACAGCAAATCCTCAGTAGCCTTCCTTTAAAAGAAACACCTCATAAGCAATGGTCTTGTGCTTTGAGACACCAGAATGCCCTGAGCAAGAACTTCTAACATTTTTACACTAGAAATTATGCACTTTATTCATTTATTTATTTATGCTACTCAAAATAACCCATCTTAGCAAGAATTAAGCTATAAAACCAAAGTGAAAATGAGCTGAGTTCAGTCCTTGCTCCATTCTAAGTTGCTATCAAACACACTCAATTCTAGATTTGCTCCCAGAAATTTTCTCAGTAATACTCTGTGTTTATAGCTGTACAACTGCTATAGTAAATATTTTGGTCTTTAGCAGAGGAATATTTTACAGATAGGACAGAGAGATGAGCTTAGCCCAATGAGTCTTCAGCAATGAGCAGCCCAAGAGGGAGATGCTGAAGAAAGAAGTGGAGAGGAGCACAAGTGGCTTTGTTTGCTGTCCCTTGCTTCCTCACCATCACAGCACAGGGCTGGAAAATGCAAGCACCACGCTGGGTGCTTTGTGAAACCAGATCCTGCTATGCAGTACCTGACAGCACAGCGTGGAGCTCTCCTAGAAATGAAAAATCAGGCACTCAACAGTCAGGAGACACCAAAATGAAGATGTGCCTGGCTTTAACCTCACTTTTGAGTGAGATTATGTTGGAAGTCATTGTATTTTTAGTTACAATAAGACAAGCTACTTATTCTACACGAACTTCCCTTCTCAGATCTCACTCTGTCTCTGCTCTGTGGATGATTCAAACCCCTCGCTGTTGACAACAGGGTAAAGGTGCTTTTTCTCCCCTCATTGTTCAACACACAGCTCTACACCTAACCTGCTGCATGCCATCCGTACCAGCACTGAGGACAAAGCTGTCAACTTCCACGGTGACATTACTCTGGCACTTTGCACCGCAGCCCCAGATTTTCACAATG